AGAAAGCTAACAACAATAATAATAATAATAATAATCAAATACCAATGAATCCTTCTCTGCGCATAGATTTATGAGTTCGCTCAAGTTTCTCTTTGATTCCTCCAGATGTTTTGCTGCTTTCTCGGCGGTGTCATGAGTGACAGCTATCGAAGATACTATTCCGGAAGCATTCTTAGCACTGGTCATGGCAAAGTGTAAGTATAAGTAAATTAAAATATAAAATTATAGTGGGATGTGAACAGAAATATACGCTTTAATCAGGCCGCCGAAATCATCACTGGAATAAGGGTGGAAGCTGCCGCCATCTATTGTTTGGGGGTTCAAGATTATGCGGGTAGCAGAACAACTTGATGCTCCAACTTGATCTTCAAATTTAATTATCAAAATGTTAACATATATGAAATTGCATGACAATGATTCCATCACAACGATATTTCAGACCAAAAGAAGTTTCTCTAGTAATAGGAATGCGTACCTCGAAAAGATGATATAGTAAGTCCACCAATAGCAATTATTACAGGTGCCGTTAGAGCATCCTGAATCAGTTGAGTAGCACTAAGCTTATATGCTAATTCCCCCCACAAAGCAATTGACAATTCGGCTCCCCTTTATTATACAAAGATGGGTTAGATCTAAGATATATTGATTCACAAAAACAAAACTGACAAAATACCTTTCATTTTTCAGAACTAATTTTTGGTGAGGTGCGGTCCCATGTTGAGTAATTTTGTGGTCAATCTCACTGATTGAACTCAGCCAGCCAACAACATCTGTTTATTAGGAAAGGCAAGTGCATTATCACACATAGTTTATTAGGAAAGGCAAGTATCAATATCACACATAGTTTAAGAGAGCATAAGCACAGTACATCCTACCTGTCAATATTGTATTTATTCCTGCACGATTTCGCAAAGACTCGAATTGGCAGAAGTCGAAGCTGTCTGAGACAAAATCTGTAGCAAAGGCAGTAACATCTTCAAAGTCTGTTGCTGGGACAATGGAGATACATATGTTGTTCATGCATGGTCTGTAGAGTTCTTTGGCTGGCCTTGTTATAAATTCCTTTATACAATATACAGAACCAGTACTGAGTTTGGACTCCAGGTGGCCAGCAAAATTCCGATCACTAAGACCATGGATGAGCATCCCCTAAGAATAGAGAAAGTCATCAATGTAATGAATCTTCCAACATATGATTAGCCAGGAGACGGAGAAGAAAAGTAAAAATTATTAGATAATAATATTACCGTTTCATCAACCCATAGGGTACTGTAATCGTACACATATCCAGGATTTGCTGGATTAGTAGACTTCCATGAGTGGATGAGGCGGAGCTTGAGGACTCCCTTGTTGTCGCCAACAGTGAGTTCGTGTAGGAACTTGGTTTTAGTTTCAGAGAACATATTGCAAAGGAAGAAGTAATCGCAATGAAAGGGTAAATTTGTGAGTGCTTGGTGTTTATCTACGAAGGTCAATTTAAAGGGATTTATATTGCTGCGTTGTCCTTTTCCTTGACAACTTCGTCTTGCACAAATTATACAGAAGTAGAACTAAAAAGTTATATATGAAAGTATAATCGGAGAGAAATTGTACTTTTCCTTAATTGCTTCCTTGTCCTTTTCCTTTTCCTTCTCCTTAACGACTTTGTTTTGGACAAATGCATAACTGAATAGTTTTTCTTTTATTCCCCAATTAGAATTATTAAACTATTCCTTATTAGCTTCGTCGGTATACGTTTGGCTTCAATGTAAAGTGTTTTTCTACTATTTAGTTTCATAGCAGTAGACATTCTCCTAATCAGTCACGTTTACACATATATATATTAGTTAGAATTATGAGGCTTGGGGAAATCACCTAACGCACACATCGATATATCTCATTTTGCAGTCCCTAGTGGATGAAAACATCTACTTAATTGATTCTTAATGTAGTATCAATAAAACTGCACTACAATGATTCTAGCAAAAGTATTCAAATATCAGTTTTCTTACCTTTCCAAGTGAAAGAGAAATGCCACTGGTAAGAAGTTAAGTCCTGAACTCTTATCTCCCGACGATTTATGTCCATAATAATATCCCCTTAATGATGTTAGCCTTTGCATAGTGGAAAGCATATTCAGCCACCCTCAAACTGGCCTGGCGAGCAATGATCTTGAGGCTTTCAAATACACATCTTACCACCTACCTCCCAAAATCATCATTATGTCAAAGTTCATTAAGACATATAATTGGCTAGCTGCAAGTTAACCAAAGCCAGATAGAAAACTCACTTGGTGCTCAAGTCCACTGTATTCTCCTTCAGTGCTCTCACGGATGGTGATGAGATTCACATCATTTTATCGGGCTTTGTAACCCGGAAGGCTGTAGCAAGGCCTGACATTGGCATACAGGTTAAGTTCTTCCCTGAGAGTGAGATTCAAGAATGATGGCCCTTTCCAATTGCTGTAGCCACTGGCCCTTTCAAATCCACTCGGTTTCTTCTCACAGACTCCAAACTTTACCATGTTAGAAAGGTCTGGGTTTGAGGATCTACCTCAGTCCCGACATAATGTTATTCCCATTCAACTGGTATCACAGACTCCAAACTTTACCATGTTAGAAAGGTCTGGGTTTGAGGATCTACCTCAGTCCCGACATAATGTTATTCCCATTCAACTGGTATCTCAGCTTCCCTGAAAATCTGTATATGTAACCACACTCAAATCATATAGATATCCGACAAACAATTAGAATGAGTTTAATCAAATGAAGAACAAACAACTAATTAAACTTCTAATCACCTCCAAAGAATCGGCCATCAAAAGAATCACTGAGAAATGGAGATAACCCCTTTCCCTTTCGCCTGAAATCCAACAGATGCTAAATCAACCCAAATGGAGGGAAGAATCTCCATCTTCAAATCGAGAAGCTTGATTTGGAAGGGGAAACGAAGGAGGTGGGTGGCGTAGGAAGGGAACAACACGAATGAAGAACCTGATTTGGCTAGCCTTCAAGAAATTCGTCCCCTCCTTCTTCCACCGCCGTGTCTTTCGACGCCACCGTCTCCCTCCGCCGTGACATTCAACGGGTTCAGGGAGGTGAGAGAGAGGGGAAATCAAGTGTCGCTTTTGGCTAGCCTTCAAGAAATTCGTCCCCTCCTTCTTCCACCGCCGTGTCTTTCGACGCCACCGTCTCCCTCCGCCGTGACATTCAACGGGTTCAGGGAGGTGAGAGAGAGGGGAAATCAAGTGTCGCTTTTCGGCGTCCAAACAGTGGGTTCGGGGATGGAAAATCTGTTGTCGCCACAATCTCCTGCCGGCGTTTGTGAATCGGGGAATGGAAGGAGAAGAGATGGGATAGAAGGGTCTTTGTCTGGTCGGAGGTTAGAGATGACGGGGAATGAGAAGATGGCAGGTTCTGGATCGGATATTGAGATGGGAAGGGATTGGAGAGAAGATGGCAGGTTGAGATGGGAAGGGATTGGTAAAGAGGAGGAATCGATTCGTCTTCCAGCAGCCATTGAGGGCATTCAGAGATGGAGAACTAATCCTCCCACTAATTAATATTGCCTTTACTTTGTCATGGGAAAATGTGAGCAGAGAAAGGATGGGGAAGGAAAAGTTCCACTTGAAAGGGAGAGTTCTACATGAGAGAGGAGAGAGGTGGCAGTGGGTTTTGATTTGACGTAGAAGAATAGAGAGAAGAGGCACGGGGCCCACGATGAGGACTTTTATCAACGGTCATGTTTTGTCTAAATCAACGGCCAGACTTGGCTTACCCAAAGATGAGCTCACGTAGGTACGGCCGCAGTCAATCATCATGTCTCTTCGTGAACAGTGTTACGCGATTTTTTCGTAATGAACAGTAAATCTCGGTTTTTGGTAAGTTTTGTCTGCTTGTGGCTTAATAATTCTAATTTGAATTAGAACAATTGTTGGCGATGAATGATGATGATGATGAGTTTGATGATTAAATTGCTTTGAGTTTGGATTATAATAAGTAACGAATGGATGGATGAAATTGGCATAAGTGGTGGTGGTGGGGCACAGCGCGGGGGTTGAGCGTGATGGAGGCGAGCCACAAGTTCCCAAACAAGATTCGGGTGACCGTCTACCTAGCCGCCACCATGCTCAAGCGAGGTTTCTGCACCCACCGTCGTCTACCTGAGGATATCAATTTCCACCATCATGCCCGACGAGGCCCGAGATGGTTGGTCGGCGGAAGTGTTGGGTCAACCGCCGGAGGCCGGCGAACTCGTGGGAGAAGTTCGCCGGCGGTGGTGAAGGTTGAAACCCGACGGGGTTCTGATCATATCAGGTTTTAAGTTTTTTTTTTAACTTTTTAATAGTGGGAAATGACGTGGAAATTTTAAATAATTAAAATTTATTTTTTAATATTTTTTTAATTGCCACGTCATGTATTTAACGGTCAACTATAAGTGTTGACTGCCACATCAGCAAAACTTAACGGAGTTGGACGGAGAGTGACCAAACTTGAAACGTTTAACTAATTTTAGTGACCACGAATGGATTTAAATATTTCTAGTGATCAAACATGAATCTTTTTAGTAATTCCAGTGACCAAACTTGCAATTTACCCTTAATATTAGGCAAAGTACAAAACATATGATAACAATGTACATACATTTTCTTTTGCTTACCTAGTTACCTTACGACATGAGAAAAAAGACTGCAAATTTCTGGAGTCTGATCCAAACTTTCATGAATGAGCATTCTTTCTTTTAACAATGGGAAATGTTCTGTCAACCAGACCCCAAGTCCCATACCATCTATTGGTTAAGCCTTTGCTCTTCTATGACCAAAACGACAGCGGATAAGCATGGTCTTTTGTCTTCTGGCCAGGCTCTATATCAGTCTTAAGCAGTTCCCAAGTAATTTACAGTACATACCTTCTGCATTTTGAGAAACTGCCTTCCAGTGAGCTCTGATGAACCCCCCAAGATTACCAGGGATTCCATTATGAGGGAAGGAAATCAAATGGCAAGCCGAGAAAAGCAAATTCTTAGTCACCAGTAGTTTTGTCGCCATTTCGGGCCATGGGAAGCTCAAGGATGACCAGGAAGTAAGACCTTTCTGACTCTCTGATGTACTGGACTTCACCATTCATGAGCTTCAGTATCTTCCTGCACATGCTGAGTCCCAGGCCTTCTTGAGTTGCCCATTTGCTGCTGTGAAACATGTCTTGAACCACTTCTGGTGGAAGTCCTTCACCAGGGCAAACCATCCTTCACAAAGAGAGAAAAGCAGCGGTATAAAGGTATTGTTTGGTGCCTACACATCCTATGAAATTGAGATTATACCCATCCAAACAACAGGATGCGTTCCTACTCTAGGTCAAAGTAAAGGACTGGAAGATTGAAAGAGCACAAGAGTAGTTAACCTGAACTCTGTACGGACACCGGTGTGACCATCCGCTATTTGCTTCAGAGAAGGACGAACGTGGAGCTCAACATAGCCATCCGAGGAAGGAGCATACCTCACCATATTCAACAAGAAGTCAGCTAACACCTGTTGGATTCTGGATTGATCACCACAAACGGCCAGAGATTTTACTTCCTCTGGAATATCACGTATCAGTTGCAGATTCCTTTCCCTCAGCAACAACATCACTTGGCTAACCACAGCGTTTATGACACTCCCCAGAAAGAACTCGGTCCTCTCGAAATCAAACGTTCTGGTGCAAAAAAAATCAGGTGGACAAAGTTCAGAGTAATTAATCAGCACATTATTGCATTTGGCAGACAAGTTAAGTATACTGCTGTCAGCTTGGTTCAGGATGAAGAGAAACCAATATAGAATTCCTCTATCTCCAATACACTCTCTCATTATCATTAAACTTTCACATCAGCAAAGGGGAACTGGAAACTAACCCGTTTTCGATGTTCTCAAGATCAGCATCTCTTACAATCTTGAACATCTGCCTCTCACAGGCAGCACTGGTCTCAATAAACTGCTTCTGATCTTCACTCAGCTCGGTAGCTTCCAAGAGCGAGTTAGTGAACCGTATACCACTCAAAGGGTTCTTTATCTCCTGACATATATAAGCCAATTCCTTCATCCTCGCAAAATATCTCTTCTCCTGCTCTCTTTGAACTTTCAGAGCTTGCTGCAATTCAGGACTAGCGATTTGCAAGAAGCAGAACGCCCCTATAATCTGTCCCTCAACATTTGATCTCTTGTTTGCTGTCAGAAGAGCTTGAACATATTTCCCATTCTTGTCAAAAAAGGCAAACGGGAATTTTTCCGTTTCTTGTCCTCCAATCGCATTGTGAAGAAGGATCATGAAATTGGTTAAAGCATCTGGACCCTTAAGGCGGCAGCAGCCGCCAAACACTTCCCCAACCAACATCTTCCCTACGATTTCACCTCGGGTATAACCTGTGAGCTTTTCCATGGCAGTATTCCACTCCAAGCAATATGCATTCTCATCTGAAGCAAATATGGGAGGGATCAAAGGGTTTGGACTGTGAACTATGGCCTTGTAATCACCTTGTATGTTAACGAACTTATCCATTACCAATTTTTGACCAGTCACATCTTGACCCACAAAGCAAACTCCAACTATGTTGTTCATGTAATCCTTGCTAGAACAAGCGTTCACTATTACAAAGATGGGTGTTTTCTCATGTCCAGAGCCAAACGTCTTTAATTTTATCTCCACATCTTTATCTTCTTCACCTATAAGAGAAAGAAAGAATCCATGTAGTCAAAAGATGTCTCAAAGGCCCTTCAAGTATGTTTGTTACGCATGGAAGTTGAATATACCTTTTAAAGCATCATGAACAAGCTTGTCAACGGTTTCTGCATATTCCTGATAGACAAGGTCATGAACCAAAGATTTCCCCATAGCTTCTTCAGCTGAAAGCCCTGTCAATTCAACAACCTTTGCATTCCAACCATTTATTCTCCCATCCACATCAACCGCAAATATTGGAGCTGTTGCAGTCTCTATAAGCCTCACCATTTCTCTAGCCACCGAGCTCAGTTCATCCACGCCTTGCAACTCCATCTCGTCGAGTTGTGCAGGTACAATAGATTTAGAATTCGCTGCAACTTCAGCATCTTTAAATGAGTCACGAAGAATCAGTTGCAAAGAATGTATCGCATCCATCTCTGCATTTTCCCATGGCAAGCTACGACTCTTCACTACTTCAAGAAAGGCCTTGAATGAAGAACGAGGATGCATTCTTTGGCCATCATCTTTATCCTGTGGGTGATGTTTGGCGCCACCCCATTTAATCTCTTTGCCTGTATGTGACCTGAACCAGAACAAGAAGTCTTTCTTTGTGATATAAGCAACCGCCATCCCACAAACTGCATCGCCAAGTGAAGCTGCACCAGTATATCCAGCATCCCCCAAACTATCAGTACTTAAACCAGTTGAATCGCCATGGAACGCCAGCAACCACTCTACAATATCCTTAATCTGTGCTTCAGTTGGAGTCACACCAAGCGGGTAGTACTTCCCTTGGTAATACAATGCTGCTCCATCACACTTCACCAAATCCATAATGCTAGGACTCTGAGTGACAATCCCGGGTGGGGAATCTCTCAACAACATGTCACAAAGAAGGGTTTGAGTCCTCAAAACACGTTTCTCTGATAATTGAGAAGCCAACTGCAACTCCATGTTCAATTGAAGACCAAAAGCCTGCATAAGAAACTCACAAGCATAACGAAGTGGAAAAGGTATGCACCTAGCTGAAGTGTGATGACAGACCACCAATCCCCATAGTCTCATTGCGTTCCTCCCTCCGCCATCTTCATCATTGGCATTGATGATCACAGCCATGGCTAACGAAGCAGTGGAACCCATATTTGCCATGTACTGAGCATGGCAACCGTGTGGAGCACGGAGAGTTGAACCAACTAAGCACAATGGCTGCATCAGCCCTTCATCCTGAAACACACGGACTGGGGAAGCATGGCAATCGACTATCATCCTAACCCTATTCTGTTTGAACAAGAACCGGGAAGCTTGAGGGATATCAGTAGCAGGGTAATGCAAACCGATGTACGGCTCCAAATCAGGTCTTTTGTTCTCTGCCACTACTTCTCCATGCTCATCCTCGTGGAACTTGTAGACCATGACTCTGTCATAGCCTGTGAGCTCTCGAACGCACTCAACCACAGTATCGCACAAGAGCTTGATATCACCTCCGGGGAGAGATTGCAATTGGGAGATCGCTCGAACAGCTAGCTTCTGGGATTGTACGGCGCCGGCGATGGAAAGCGCCGGATCCTCAGTTCTCGCAGGCTCCAAATCGATGACGATCCCCACATCGATTCGATGGAGAATCGCGTAGAACGGCTTTCCGGAGTTCTTGGAGTGGATCCAGAGAGGGTTGAGCAGCGTGATTTCTCTGGCTCCGAACGCCTTCTCCAGCAGAATTGAGCTCGAGGAAGTGAAGATTGTGCGGACATCGGCGCCGATTGAGAGAATTTCTTGCTTCTCCAGGGAAGGGACTGATTGGGGAGTTAAGCCGAGCATGTCGCGCGCGTTCTCGCTGTAGGCGATTACGGCGAAGGAAGCTTCGTCGACGGCGATCGTGCAGCCGAACGGCTGGATGTGTCCGCCGCGCTGGATTTTGGAGAGGTACGCCGTGATTTGCTGCTCCGGTACGGACTGGTTAGTCGTCCTCACGGATTGAGAGTAATCGAAAGACCTACCTGACTCGCCGGACCGCTCGAAAACCGCGTGCAGCTGCGCGTCCACAGTGTACTGCGCAATCGCTTTGCTCACTGACTCCGCCGCCGCCGACGAGGACGGAGGCGGCGGGGGAGGCCTCAAGTTGCTGGTTCCCGATGACTGCGGCGGCTGCTGGTCGTAATTCTGGTTGCTGTAGTGGTTGCGGTGGTTAGCAGCTGCTGCTGATGGAGCTGAAGTTCCCCTGCTTCCAGACGCCATTTTTGCTTCCCCAAGAAGCTTTTCTTCTGAGAAGGAAATCGAACGGGAGGAAAGTTATATAAACAATGAAAATTGGCTTGTTCTCATTTCTTTTCTGCAGTGTTTGTGGCGAATAGAGTCGAAACTGAATTCTTTTTGTTATCTCAGTCTCTCTCCCTCTCTCTTCATCCCTCTGCTTTTAGAGAGAGAGAAGAGCAAAAGGCTGGCGGAGTGAAGTTAAAGCCAACCAGCTTTTTCAACCTATTTTTTTACTGCTGCGGTGAAAATGTTCTTACACTATTACTATTGGCGAGCTTCGTCGGCGTCAGAGCCAGAGGGAGATAGGGAGATTCGGCCGGCGGCTCGCGGTGGTGGCCGGTGGGGTCAGTTGGGCGGCAAAAGAACAAATTTTTTATTGGCGGGCGAAACGCATATCTTTTTGGGTGAGATTGGTGTGCTTCTCGTTTTCGTGTAGGCGAAGAAAAAGTTCAGGGACCAAAATGGAAATTTGGAATTGCAAAACGTGGGAAATTAGTTTTGTTTTTAACGTTATAGTGGGTGTGCTTATTGGTTTTTTTTTCTGCTCCTGATGGGAATAGTAATGCCATTACTTTAATTATGTTACTTGGATTTTGCTTTTAATTCTTTGATTTAAAGACACAATGCACAAACTTTTTTTTTAATAAAACGACCAATGGACAACTAAAATGCGCAAAGATAGTATGTAATTTAGCTGTTCACTTTTTCAAAGAAATCCACAACTATTAGATTGCACAATGGATTTTTTGTGACCATTAAATGGGCAGCGTGGCAATTTTGTAATAAAATATCATATTAGTTTGATTTTACGATGTTTGTTTAATGAGTTACCACATTAGTTTGATTTACTAAAATGATAGATTACCACATGTAAAATGTGTGTAGTTAATGATATGTGTATTTGTAGTAAGTAACATATATAATTGTCAACATTGATTAGTATATTTTGTTTGTTTTCTATTTGGTTCAAGTTCTTTCCAACTGTAATTTTGTAAATAGAGATTGACAATAGAGAACAACAAACAAGTGAGGTATTCAATGTCGTCAATAAATTTGTAAAGATTGGGATTGCAAGTAAAGTTAAGGCACCTTTTAGCAAGTAAGATCCAAAAAATAAAATTTTATATTGAACAAATCGAGGTAGAACAGTCAAGAACGTGGTAGAAATAGTTACCCATGCTACTACGGTCTACGGGTTGAGTATTACTGCTCCATCACGGGTAAGTTCGGGTAATATCGGGGTGAGTTCAAATTGCCATCAGTAACTCATAGAACTGAAGTTACAAGCTTGTGATACCATGTGTTTAAGAATATAGTTACTACTGAGAGTCGCGAGGACTTACTAAGTACGTGACCTCAAATGACAAACTAACTTTGATCCTATGTTATGCCAATTGATGAAAATAACTTGAGTACATGTATATATTTTAACTATTTCCCTATATAATGTTTTAATACATGATCTAACACTCTACTCTAGATTAATTTTTATATATTGAACAAACTTGAGAATGTAAAGAAGTAATTAAGCATGATACATGTGCCTCTTCCAATAATTCGAATTATTGGGGCGAATTGATTTATAACACGATAGCAAAAGTTGGTTTGTCCGTGTGACTCTCTAGTTCAACCGATAACATGCACATCAAATACCGTTGGAGAGAGATGCCAGAATTTATATTAGATCAGCGGAGTGAGAGCAGGAGCCTGCAGATTTTCAATACTTTTTGTCTGCAGTGAACGTGGTAATGGTTCAGGCCCGTGTGGGGGACAGAAGTACCCAGTGCCCAGCCCACGTGACTAAGCCCCACTCCAGCTACGACTCCTTGCCTTCACGTGCCGCACCTTTCTTTTTTCCCTTCTCGACTAAGGGGTCGTTTGCTTCAAGGATTTGGTACATGGATTTGGTACCAAAAAACCAACTATCAAGGATTTAGGTACAATCCGTTGTTTGCTTGCACCTTTTTTGGAGACCAAATCCGTGGGACCCACGGATTTTAAGGGTCCAAATCCGTGGACCCCACGGACTTATAAATCCCACATGATGATGTGGGATTTGGAATATGGCATAAATCCTTGATGAGATTTTACCCATATACCCTCATGCACTTTTACTATTCCAAGATTGCCCTCAAATTTAACTACTATACATTATAATTAACAATAAATGAATAATATAAACGTCCAATTAATGTGCAAACATGAGTTAGATTTTTTATATCATTTCTTGTGTTCTAGTTTTCTTTGACCTTTTCATGAAACGTGTAATTCTTTGTTCTCCCGATTCTAATATATGTTGTTATATGTTACTTTTGAAAAGGAGGACAAAGAATTGGTAATTGATTATGTTACGTTAAAAGGTAAAACGGAATTTTCTCGTTTATTATTATTGTCCATGTGGCAACATTATGCTTATTAGTATGTATTGTCCTTGTTTTGTGTACATATCATAAACATGTCAAACATATAGAAAATGATAGTAAGGTAATTTTGAAGTTTTGTCCTTGTTTTGTATATATATCATAAACATGTCAAACATATAGAAAAGGGCAGTAATGTAATTTTTTACTTCAAGTAGTAAATCCCACACCTTTAAATCCATGATAAAAACATCCCAACAAACAAAGGATTGTTACAAATCCATGATGCCTCAAATCCTTGATAAATCCTTGGGTTTTTAAATTACAAAACCCTCATTTTTAAATCCATGAAGCAAACGACCCCTAAGTTTATGCCCAGCCAAAGAATGAGAAACCCATCGTCCTTTGGGAATGGCTGCCCGCCACTTTCATTCTTCTTCCCGGCCGTTCAATGAACCAAAAAAACCCAGCAATTCTCTATTGGAGAGGGATGTGCGCTGTACAGCTCCATTCAACCAAACTAAAGGGCATATTTGGTTACTAGCATTATTCCCGGCCCGTTGGCCGGGTGAGTTTTGCATTTTATATTATCGATTCAGTAATTTAAGAGACAAAATACAGTTGTATAGCCAAAACTTTCGCGTTTGTGCCAACAATAGCCACATTTGGAGAAATACCACTTATAGCCATTTCCGTCCAATACTTTAACGGTGTTATCTAACAGGGTGACTGGACTAACAGTTTTAGATATAAGATAGGTTCAATTCAGTTCAAGTTCGATCCGGTTTGATATGGAACGGATCGTTGCCCATCCTTCAAGAAACATGAAAAATGCAGCAAACTTTAGATCGCGACAATGAAATAGACATTCTCTGAAGAAAAGAAAAAAGCACAAGGTTCGCAAATACACATTCGAAATTGCTCCCCTAACCCTCAATTATTTGTTCATGGACTAGAAAGGTCCCTAATGGCAAAAAAAACACAAATCTGACTCTCGAAAGGTACAGTTTACAAATCAAATGGTGGGCTGCAACGAACGATCGAAAACATTGAATCTCCTGCGATGGGTGAATTTGCAGATGATGCTAGAAAGTAATGAATCTCCAGAAGCTTTGTTGGCACCGTAAACAGACTTTCGGCCGAGTTGCAACTCACTTCGTGTAGAGAACATCTTCCCATGGGTGACGGTATAGGGGCTGTTTGAGTCTCTTCTGATCAAATGTGTGCCTGGAAATCGAACAAAGGTGGTTCTGTGTCAGTCGAATGGAAGAAAGTGACGTCCACTAGCGTTAGATTTTTTCCTTCTACTTTGTTACATAATGAGCAACGGTTATATGCATTATTTGTTCATTGGTCCCATCTCAATGTATTCTCGGACTACAAAGCATTTCGTGTCTGCATCAAATGGTGGTGGGTCGCATACAATTAGGGGTCAATTCATGCATCAATGTCACAGAAGGGGGTTGGTATGGGCATGGTACTACACTCTGGTCTAGAACCAAACAAAATTTGGGGTATGGCAAAAGCTAAAAATTATGGCAAATTTGGGTTCTGGTCACTGCGGGTTGCAAACCGGTTGATTGGGTTGTGTCGAATTTCAATTCAGGGTATTCAAAACAATCAAAATGTGCAAGTTGGGTCGGGGTTCAAGATTGGTTAATCAGGTTATGGAGCAATTGGGTTACGTCTGTTATGTGCAGTGGAAGCAAGCAAAGGCGAAATAGAGGAATGAAGACACAGGGGGAAGAATGCAAAAACTCACCCGATGAGACCAATGGAACGAGCCAAGACGAAGAGGCCATTCAAGTATCCAATCTCGACGATCTCGTCGATCTCTGGCTTGGTGAACATTCCGCTGCCAGCAAGGAGATCGAGGAAGAGGGAGCCAATCGCACCATCAACATTCATGACCAGGTTGTTGGCCTTTGTTAGAGTATAGGTCTCGACCTGGACGGCATACTCCATGTACTTCACAGATGGGAAATTTGTGCGTGCGAATTCCTGCAACAGCTCCACTCTCTTATCCCTGTTGTCCCCTCTCTTTATCCTATCGTATCCAGCAGGTTGCAAAGAATATGGTTAATTAGATATGCCGATATATAACTCAACCCACCCAAAGCCAACCTGCCAAACTGACTCGAGACTCGCCATGATCTAACTTGTTTGTTCTATGAACTATTATGACCTGATCAGCAGCAATTATGACCTGATCACCCAAACTTGGTCTGGTTGTCAAATCAAAATGGGCAACTTGTTTCTAAGTTATAACCCGCAAAAGTAATGACTCAATCCATCATGACCTGTCACCTGCAATGACCCGAGAAATAAACTGGCCTAGTTCAAGCATTAAGAATTTCAATCTATACAGTTTCCATACCTATGGCCAATTCCAGGAACGCGGATGCCCTTCTTTTTCATGCTTTCAACAAACTCATAGGGAGTGAGTCCCTGGAGGAGAAAAAGGCATCGAGAAGAAATGATATTCAGTGGTCCATAAAACCGCACATAGGCATTCTAACAAGAAATGAACATGAACCATCAATTAAACTAGCTTTACCCTGTCATAAGCATCCTTGAAGTATCGAGCAGCATCATCAATGGCGCCACCAAATCGGGGACCAATTGTCAGCAAACCTGGTTCACAAAATAGTAACTCAGTATAGAGGTTGAGATATGTGATCAACCTTTTAACAATTAGTGGATTCAATATAAATAGTTTTTTCTAAAAATTTAGACTTAAAAATATGGTTGTTTGATTACTTTTCCAACTCAGCTTGTAACTTCCAGCCAATATAAATAATCAATAGTCAGTTTACCTGATACAAGGCTGGAAACAAGATCCTTTCCAGCCCTTGCTGTGACAATGGTATTGTGAGCTCCTGAGACACAGGGACCATGGTCGGCGCACAACATGATGCATATCTGGAAAAGATCCAGGGTGTCAAAACACATAAAAGAATCGTTCTTATTCCACATTTTTTCATAAATGATGAAAAGAGATAGGATAATGATTACTCTTAAGTCACTGAAAATTACCTCGATAAATTTGGTACAGTAGCGTGGGAGGCTGCGTTTGAACCATAAAAGAGAGATAACATCACCAACACCATAACCCTGCTCAACAATTGAAGACATTGGCACACCAGCATAGCATGGTTCCTCACCTACAGTTTGATTGAAACAAGAGGTTATGATCAATCAGAAATTAATTCCAATAAGCTTCTCGTAGAGGTCCGGAATAAAAAGGCAAGTACCTCTATCGTCAGAAATGGTTGAAATAATATGAGTCGGGGCGCGAACTTTGCCACTCTTGATCGCAGTGTTGAGATCCTCTGGAATTGGTGGAGGTGTAAACTCCTTAACCGATTCAATCTTCCCTGCTTCGACCTGGGAGGAAAATAATTTGTAATTGAGGACGAAAGCAGTCATGATCATAAGAATTTGGCATGAGGCACCTCTATTTTAGGATCCATTTATTTAGTCTAAAACTAAAGTTCCAAAAATTTAAGTTGGAAGAAGGCCATAGTGCACTTTTCTCCATCTGAATAGTTAGAACACCTATTCATAAAGCACTCCACAATTATTGAAAGTAAAAAGCCTGCCTCATTACCCAAAAATTCATTTCCAACTTTTCATCTTTATAATAAGAATATATTTGTTAAAGATTTACACATAAGGGTCATTTCCCAACCATCACATCTCTTATTATCAAACAAACTATCTATATCCAGCAAGTACTTTGTAATTGGTGAGGAATATTTTATATCTCATCAACTCTTTCAGAAGATTTAGAAAGAGCTGAATAGGTAATATAAGAATATAGGACTAACCAGTTTGTCGAATGCCTCTTTAATAGAAGCTTCAAAAGCTTCAAATGAGGTAGGCACAACAGCTCCAGCATCTTTTAGTGCTTGATTCTTAGCTTGTGCAGACTCCAATTCACCACCACTTTTAGCACCCTGATTGAAACAATTTACGAAGATCAATCAAAACAGAACCTCTGTTGTAGCAGTGGTTTGATGCCACTTGTTAGATATAAAAATTAAAGAGAGGGATATTCTAGAGCAATACAACTTACAGCATGGCCAAATTGAACTTCTGACTTGAAAAGTCTGGCGCAAGTTCCACTGACCCAAGCAACAACTGGTTTGTTCACTTTGCCCTGTTTGAGAGCTTCCACAAGGGAGTACTCATCTTGTCCACCAAGTTCTCCAAGTACCACTATCATCTTAATCTAAAGTTGTTTTGGAAAGGCAGATAAAAATGGGTTACAGTTGTGATTTTTTAACCAACAAAAATACGATGATGTCCATTCTTTTTCTCGGATTCAGTGGAGATCATTAAATAAACTGTTTGATATTGACATACCTGAGGAATGTTGTTAAACCGCAAAACATGATCAGAAAGAGTGGATCCAGGGAACACGTCTCCTCCAATTGCAATACCTACACATTTTTCAAACATGACAATCTAATCAGGCCTGCAGCTATTATTTGAAAACACCAAAAAAGTCTATGCATAACATAACGAGAGTACCTTCATAAATTCCATCTGTTACACGAGCAATAGTATTGTAAAGCTCATTTGACATGCCACCCTGCAATTTTCACAAAACAACAGTCTAAGATCGCGAGACAGAGCAATAACATGCTGGCTTTAAGAAGACAGGAGCTACAACATACCGATTTTGACACAAATCCAACAGACCCAGGTCTGTAAAGCTTGCAAGCAATAATGTTATCAATTGTTCCAGCAGTGTCACCAATCCTGAATGCTCCAGCTTGGATTCCCCCAACAGTAGCAGGGCCAATGACAACCTACACAATCATCAGGAGAGCATATTTCAATAAAAGATCATAATGCAGAACAACAAAAGTTGCACTTAAGGATTCACACCATTGATTTTAGTCCAATTTGAATAAAATCCAATCTAAGTTCTCACCTTATTGTTAGATCGTGCATATGCAATCAAATGCTTTGTGTCTGACTCGGGAACACCCTCAGCTATTATGGCCACAACTCGAATTGTTGGCTGTTTGAGAGCAGACATGGATGAAGCTGCAGCGCTGCATATGAAAAACACACATTTCACTACATAGCACAAAAATTATAAGCAACATTATCCATCAAAAGCTAAATAAACACAAACCTTCTAAATGAAGCAAAGTTAATAAATACATCAGCCGTTGGATGAGCAGCACAGGCCGCCTCAATGCTGCAGAACAGTTCGCAAAAGGGTCAGAAAACTGAAAACAACAGAAGAGTGAAACTACGTTCCGTGAAGAACCATCAGAACAATGAACACTCTAGCTACATTGAATACGAGAAGGCAATGGTTACAGAAAACACAATCTCAAGTTCTCTGAGTGATCAATCTGTTTCGTTCATTGCTTACACCACATGGGTCAACTAGCATTACATCTAATGTCCACAAGACAGGAGCCAGCTCTAAGCCCAAATAGAGGGAAAGAAGAACAAAAGAAATGGCTACCACATCTTACCTTCCATGCACTGGGATAGCGATTTCCTCTTGACCAAAAAACAGCTTCTGAAATCCCTCTGAGCCCGGGTTGATAATCCCAGCTACAGAAGGTGTTTCCCTTCCTGCAAGTAAAAAGGGAATCCGATAATACTTCAAAACCAGCAACCCGTCTGAACTAAGACAATCCCTTCACCCATCCTACAAAGAACCCAATAGATCGAAAGCTTTCACGGAAACCATATCCCTTAAGAACAATGGCATAGACACATGCTTACCACAAAGGAAATCGAAATCAAGCATCCGCTGAATAGGAAGCTGCTTGTAATTGTAGAACAAGGCTTGTGTAGTTCGAGAGAAGAGTTGCCCAGTGGCCATGATTGCAGAGTCAAGGGACCTGTAAAACAAATCAGTATCAGAAATCCAACCAACTTAAGTGAACGAATTCAAATAGGCAGCACCTTAGCCGATCAAGGTTTACTGCTTATAACTACCCACCTACCAAACGGAACCTAATCAATGCTGATGCTCACATTCACCCAATGCAGGCCATGCCATGTAAGTAAAGCAAAATGGATCTACCAACACCAACCTAACCCTAAACAAGATGAGCATTGAAACGAAATCGTACAATCCACACATTCAACCAAACTCGTACCTAACTCCCCCAACCACTAACCAGCTCTGCTTCAACAGATCTCCACTAACCGAAGAAAACACCAAACAACTAAAGCGAAAGGCAGTAATTCAAAAATTCAAATCTCCGTCACCAAATCTAACCCGAACGGGAAAATAAAGAATGCAGCGGCAGAAATTCAACCGCCCCGATCGCTCACGAATCACTCGCAGCAGGACGTTCGAGATCGAGTTCAAAGCTCAGGAAAACTCTTTCGAGAGCAGATTTGGCGGCAAGAAACCAGTGCGGGGGGATAAGAAGGGGAATCAAGGAGTGGGATCTGGACAAGTGGCGGGAGGGAACTAGAGGAACTTTGTTTGTTTGGTCAGCGAGAAATCTAGGGACCTACCTGCCCGAAACCGGACGCAGTGGGGTGTATCTTCGTGTGCGGTAAAGCCCTCGGCCAAGTCGCCGATTTTCTCGAGCGAGAAAGTGGAGGAAAATTGGAGACAAAAGAATGCAGGAATGTTTCAGGGATGAAGTGTGGTACTGTGAGATGGATGAGTTTGAATATTTATAGAGGCTCAAGAAGGGAAAGGATATGAATTTTTTTTTTGTTTGCTATGCATTTGAAGGCCAGCTACCAGCCTACCAGTTCAGGAATAAAAGGGGGGAAATCAGAAATGGTGGGAAGGGGAAAGGAAGAGTCAAGAGAGAGAGTCACGACTCACGTGGCGCGTGGTAGTTAGTTCGCATATCATTTTGGGTGTTTGTATATTCTTATTTGACTAACTTCAATTTGGTACCTAAGAAATTTCATGTGGTCCACTTATGTAGAGGTTTTTCAAACGGATTGGTTACCGTGGTAACCATTTTTAACCGGTAGCATTCGGTGAATTTGGTTTTGTTAATTTGGATAATTGGTTTGGTTTGGTTTGGTTAAACAATTTAGCTTATTTGGTTTAGGTGGTTTGGTTTGGTTTCAACATTGTTAACCAATTAATGATACACCTAATATACAAAATTATTTATACTTCCATGTAACCAACTAAACCAAACTTTCGTGATTCCCTATTTTATGTTCATGTGCACAACAAACTAAAACATTATGAGGCAAAAATTAAATGAGTCTGTCTATTTACTAAACCAAAACATTTTGGACAGCTACTAGACTTTAGGATTACGTACAATACTATGACAGTCACCTCAAACTATGTATAGTTTAAGTATTTTGTAGGAGAGATTTAACTTCATACGGAGGGGTATTGGTATGTATTTATGTTAAGGGTTTGTTGTAAGCCAACTATATTAGGTGCAGAGATGATGAATGATGTATTAACTCGAATGATGATGATAATCATGGATGGTTAGGATCATATTATTATTGTTTATATATAATGATAGTAACCACATATGGTTATGTTTTATTCATTAACAGGATAAATGTTTTCATGTAATGTAATGTTATTTGGTTAATCCCATTATCCAATTAACCAAACCAATTAAACTTTGGTTTGGTTAATTTGGTTTTCGTGTTAATTTGGACGGTTTGGTTAAGACATTTTATTCCATAATTAATGAAATTTAGGCTTAATTGATTTGATTATTACCACGGTAACTATTTGTACACCCCTATTGTCCCGCAGAGGGAAGCCACGAAATGTTCAGCCTAGTTATTCTGCTAACTTGAAAATTCGTTAGTATATACTAACTAATATCCAAAATATATGAACTAATATCCAAGTCTGCTGAGTATCTAGATAACACATACTAGTATTCAAAACATCACAAACTAGTATCCAGATAGCAGATACCAACTAATATCCACAATCAACCAACTAGTATTCAATATGGATACTCTTATGTGTTATCTGGATACTCTTAAGTGTTATCGGGATACTAATTATGTGTTATATGGATACTATTCTGTGTTGTCTAGATATTAGTTTGTGAATTTGGGATAATAGTTGATTCATGGTGGATATCAGTTAGCAAACTTTGAATACTAGTCTGTGCTCTCTAGATACTTTAGTACTTGGATACTAGTTCATGTATTTTGGATATCAGTTAGTATCTGCTAACGAATTTTCAAGTTAGCAGATTAACTTTCCCCCGAAATGTTGGGCCTTATTACCTCAAAACACATGGGCCTCCACATTTATGTCCTTCATTACACTTTAGGTACTCAACTTTTACACTCCCTTGGAAGTTGGAACTATGATTAAATCCTTACCGCTTGTTTGGATACAATTTTGGAAGAAATGGAAATGAGAATTAAATTTCATTTTTTTAGTTTTATAGAATTTCATTTCCAATTCTAGTGTTTGGTATAATTCCTACAACTATGGAAATGAATTGCATTTTTAACCATAATAAATAATGTAATATGTTTGTTTTATTTTGGGAAATGAAATATGAATGAGAGAGAAAGAGAGTAAAATGATAGTGGGTCGATAAAATAATAAAAAGTATTAATGGATCCCACTAATTTCATCTTCATTCTCTCAATTCCTATCACTTTTGATAGGAATTGTAATTCCCAAATTTTAGACCAAATGGAATTCAATTCTCAACCTTTTTATTATTCCAAACATAATATATGAAAATGGAATTGGAAATGAAATTCCAATTCCTTACGGCCTGTTTGGAAAAGCTAAATTTTGAGGAAATGGAATTCCAATTCTCAAACTTTTCATGTTTCTCATGTTTGGAAGTAAAAAATAAAAAGGAAATGGAATTCCAAAAGGTAAAAAGTTGGAAATTCTAAATCCTATCAAAAGTGGTCGGAATTGGTGGAGGGAGTGACGGAATTAGTGGACCCCACATTAATTTTGACTCACCTTTACAATAAAGTCCTTACTACTTTTGGATTTGAAATCATTAATACCAAGGATATTATTGTAAAAGCACTTGTAAGAAATCATTTTCATTTTTTCCAAACATAAAAAGATGAAATCATTTCTCAAACTTTTGGATGTGTTCCAATCATAAACTCTTGAAATGAATTCACACTTGAATTCAGATTCTCACAAGAAATGGAATTCATTTTCCAACAGAATTATATCCAAACAAGCTGTTACTTTTTTGTCAATCCAAACAGGCCGTTAAAGTGCACATTAGTGTTAGGAATTTATTAAATGCAACTTTTTAAAATATTCGATCATAAACTTTGTACAAGGTATAAAAGTGTGACTTATAGTATGGTTCTTTTACCTTATTCAAGTACTAAAAGCGTCATATTTTATGAAAATAGTTTTGGTATATATGATGGTCGATTACTCGATTATATTTCATCGAGCAAGCTGGTAAAAATCTTAATTCTTGAGAGTTTAATCAAAACAATCGATTACACATGTTATAATGGATTTCAAAACTTGTGTTTCCATATATTCAAATCGAATAGAGGCTAAGATGATTATAAACTAAACATCTCGGGTAGAAATATGAATTACAAATTCGTTTTTTCGTTTGATTCGGAATGTCCACTTCATGCAACCCCGATCAAATTATTGTCAATCCTTCGAAAATACAGCCTACAAGGAAATATCTGACACTAAAAGCACCATGCAAGCTCGTGAAAATAAACTATTCTACACATTTAACTTATATGATAAACCTGATAGTCCTATAATGCGACCAATCGATCGGCTTGCCAGACGACTTACAACCACAATAGATAGTCTATCTTATCAATATAGAAATAGTCAAATTATAAGATTCTTAAACTAGAGGAACCAACTCGTGAAGTTTGCCAAACATTTCTTATCTATCAAACATTATCGGAAAAAATAAATGCATAGTCAAGAGATGGGGGCTCACAATTTCTTGTTTGTTATAGTTCTAGGATATAACATGTAAGCAATGGACTGGGCGGGGGTTGCTTTGTATTGAAGTGGCAGTTGTATGTAGGGCTGCAAATGAGCCAAACCGCTCGCGAGCAACTCGGCGTTCGAATCGGAAAAAATTCGTTCGACACTCGACTCGTTATTTAATAAGCTGGCTCGCGAGCCAACTCGTTAGTTAACAAGCCAAGCTTGAGCTAGACCATGCTCAGCTTGATAAGCTCGCGAGCTAGCTTGATTCAGTGGCTTGTTGAGCTAAGCTCGCGAGCTGCCTTCTTTAGAGCTTGTGAAAGGATGGATTACTTTTTTAAACATGAACATTGTCTTGTTAATACAAATGTGTATGAAATTTAGATGTTATTTATAGTTTCTAGTGTTCTTTCTATCATTTAAATTCTTATGTTTACACATTTTTCCATCAAGAATGATTTTAAATCGAGCTCATCTTGAGCCGAGCTTGTACTCAGCTTGACAAGCTATGTTAATGAGCATTTATCAAGCTCTACCGAGTCGAGCTCAAGCTAGATGATTTTTATTCAAGCCGAGCTCGAGCTGAATTATCAAAATTCGAGTTCGGGCCGAGTTCGAGCTAAAAAATTAATAAATGAGCCGAGCTCAAGCTAAGCAAAAGCTCGACTCGACTCGGCTCGTTTGCAGCCCTAGTTGTATGGCTGGCTGCTGGCGGGAGTGGTTAGGTAGTAGATCCAACTCCGTTAAATTTTCTGACGTCCATCTGAAACCCCCACTCGCACCAGTAGGCGAGTGTCGCGCAATTGCTCTGTCTCGAACCACAATAAAATAGTCGGGGGGAAACATAATATAGTCAGCCAAAAAATGGGCTAGGTGAGGTGGTGATTAACAATTTGAAGATAATGGTATGGGAAATTAGTCAACAAAGATGAACTTGTCGTTAATTAATTTATGGTTCTCTTTACATCAATGTTGCATGAAGAAGAAGTAAAATTATTTTATCGTGTTTGCTTGAATTGGGCACATACATTGATTCACGTGGAGGTCTATGTTTTACACAATATCTTCAAAAGGTGAAAATGTATTTTCATTAGAAGGGCTACGCCTACGAGCACTTTATCGGATTTTCTATAAATCAAATTAAGAGGTTGAGACAGTTACATGCAGAGACATAGCCATCCAGAATTATTTGAGTCACAATACACACATATTTTTAGGTAAAAATACAATGAATCACCAAGTATGAATTTACGCAACGTCAAATTCTACACGATATGATCTTTTCACTATACTCATAAAATATTGTTTATAACATCATAAGGCAAATCCCCAATTTACCTTATGTCCCTGATCAAGTCTCTCTTCTTCTAAATTATTCGAATTTCTCCAACGTATTTATTTTACATTGTTTTTTCCAGAATATGAAAATAAGGTGTTATTATGTATGAAAAAACAAAAAATTGTATTAATCAGATATTTTATGAATAAATTATTTAATTATTATTACAATTATATGTTCTAATATTTATTTATATTTTAAAAAAGCACACTGCTAGTTTCAAATCATAACTCCGTCAGTGATCATACTAGTTGATTTCATTAGAGAATTTGCACGATTTGCAGCTAATCACCAGCCAAATAAACTTGGGAAGGGTATATTTTACGAACAGGCGATTTATTGTGCACTTAATTCAAATAGCTTACCAGACACATTTGAGGTCGTCTATAGTGATGTGATTCATGGTTTACCCTTCCATCATTTTGCCATGCCAACCCAAAATCGCCGTCCCGTCGTCACATCGCCAAATATTGGCGATTTGTACTTGTTTTTGCTAAAACGTTTGTTGATGTTGATATTTAAACAATAAAACGACGTTCAACAAATGCCGACGGCCGGCCATACGCAAAGTGTTATTTATATTCTCGCTGTCTTCTGTTTACGTAAAACACCAATATATTCTCTGTTGGATGAGTGCGGCCTGACAGATCCTTAATTTTCACGTTTAATTCATTGACTACAAGCCTACAACTGATTCCAACAGGAGCATGCTAATAAAGAAAAAGAAAGAAAACGAACCTCAACTAATATTTACCCAATAATCTGTTTTGGTTATTCTCTTATTATAATCTTATTTCTATTGAAGATCCGATGTTATTGGTCGTCAATGGCGGGCCACCCATTTTTTATTCAAAACAACAGAACAGCCATGTCTTAGTGACATGGATTCTGATCTTAAAAAGATATTTTTATAAGCTAATCCGACATGATAATAATAATTAGTAATAACCAACTAACTTAGCTTTTACATTTCACTGGGTTAATGCTGGATAACTGGATTGAGGGGAGGAACTGGGGATTTGGAGGAATTCCAAGTGAGAACTGAGAAGGAATTGGAGCAGAAAGGGACCGAGATGAAAAGGGTAAGAGAAGGAGAGTAAGAGATGAGTAAGACAAATGAAAGAAATTCGCATGTTCAAAGCACAATTTACTCCGATAGTAAAAGCATTTTTATACTTTGTCATTCTTCTTATGGGAGTGCTAGTGAAATAAACTCACATACTCAAACCACAATCTACTCCGATTGTTCAAATCTCGTGACAATATTTTTTGACTGTCATTCTACTTGAGCAATATCACATGTTCGAAACCAATCACTTGTAAAAACTCCCTAAAATGTTCTTCTCCAGCCCTTTTAATCATTAGAAGCTCCTTCACTTTTTTTTCTTCTTGCATTTAGGTTCTATATATAGTTAGGTAATGTTGAACATCCATCTACTCCATTTTTGTCAACAACTTAGTTAGTTAGCCCATCCCCTGACTGCCACCTCATAAATTTCACAATTCCACTTGACTAGGAAGAGAGGCCAAACCTTATTTATACATGGATTATAAGTCAAATATCTCCTTTGATTTTGAAACAGCAACACAGCTCCATAAGAGGGGGAACCTTGATTTGGAGGGAAGATTGTGGCGCTAATGGAGAAGCTCATCGCCATTTCCGCGTCAATCAGTGGGTAAGCAACTCCTCTGAACCAGTTTCTGGATTATCCGATGGAATTTCACTTTTGGAGGTTCATTTAGGCCAAGTGGGCTTGATTATATTTCTTTGGGCTTTTATTGAATGCAGCAAGACAGACGGAGGAAATACAGGCAGCCCGGCCCGTGTTCTGAGAAAACGTCAAAACCCCCACGATGAGGAAACGGGAGTTAAAGAACGAAACGCAACAAGTTTCGATATATCAAAACCAATAGCGAAACGCCATGAATTACCGAGGAAGATAAATTGACAATCTATTCCGATATGACGAAAATTCACGATATAAATCCGATATATTGACTTTGAGCTGAAAAATGACCCACAAGTCCACAACCGACAAATAGCAGGGTATAAAGTATAAACTGTCGATAACCTTTTCGGATTCCTGTTCTCCGGTCTCCGGCGTTCATACCACGATGACGGTCGGTTGCCAGAACTAATTATAATTATACATCCCAAAGCTAGCTTTGGTTAATTAATAGTGTTTTACAGTAACATTAAGCTTGATAATCGCTCTGAGATTAGCCACATCCATAAACGCCGTCTCCATAATCCCATATCCTTTCACGAACCTAAAAAACCCTGTCCCCGAAACAATCCCAAATTCCCTCTCCTTCATGGCGAAAATATCCGATCCCTGGATCTCCAGCGTGCTCCCGGCGAACTCGCCGCCGGTGAAGATCACCGAAAAGACCAAGTACAGCCCCTTCCCGTCGAATTGGGAATTTATGTAAGCCCCCTGTGCCCTGCCGATCTCCTTCGACTCCGTCGTGGGCCCCTCCGTCACCGGGTCGTCTACGACTGCGATTGTCCCGAATCGGAGGATGTTGAAGCTGGCGGGCGCAGCTGCGTCGACGGTGGTCGGATTCTGCCGGCCGGCGACGGTGATTGCTGTGGCGTCGGGGCCGGTGAAGTGGTCGTGGACGTAGACGACGAGGTTGGTGGTTTTGATGGGCGGGCCGGGTTCAGGGAAGGTGGAGGCGAGGTAGAGGACGGAGAGGGTTAGGAGGAAGAGGAAGAAATTGGTGCTGCCGGCCATGGCGGCTAGAGTTTTTAGCTGGGGTTTAGTTATGGCTTTGTGTTTAATTAGCTTTTAGTGGGAGTTTAAGGAGTGGGTGATGAATGGGGAAGAGGAAAGAATATGCTCGTTGTAGGAATCGACAAATTGTTGATGACTAATCGCGACAAAAGGGGATTGGGTTGAGTTGGATGATTTTCTTTTTTTACTAATTTTGTGTTCCTCAATTGGTTATGTGTTACTGTATTATTTTCTGATGTGATGCATCCTATTATTTATTGGATATCAATTGGAGTTTAGAGAGTGATTGCCAATTGTACAATGTTTAGAAAGAGAGTTTAGAAACATAATGATCGTATTAGTTAAGTAGTGAGCAAACTTATTGTCTTGTATATAAATATAGAAGATACTCATAATCCAATCTCTATTAAGCATTACTCGTAAAAAAAAATCTCTATTAAGCACGTCATGAAATCGATATAATACAATTATATGTGGGAGGTTTATCGTGAATTTTTTTAAAATCGACATAATTTGTATCGTACCGATGTGTTTCACTTTCAACGACTCAACAGTTTAAACCGATTTGACAATTATTTGGCAACGAAATGCCTAAGTTGGCTATGACCTACTCGAAAAGAGGCAGCTGACAAAGAGATCGTCAATTGGGCTTCAATGACTGTAGATTCTATCAATTGGGCTGTCAACAAATTAATAAGCCCAAGAAGTGAGTCCACAGTTGCGCAATTTAATTAGACCGCAGCTGATCACCTGATCCATACGTTTCTAGAATGCACCGCCCTCCGTTTCTTCCCCACAAGGCCACAACGCCGATCGAGAAACAACATGCACTGAATCAAAAGCATTTCTCGAAACTCAATCCCCAACGGAAAGGAGGTGGGGGTTTGCATTGTGCATGTACATTTTTTTGCTAATAAAGGCTCGTTACATAAACAGAGTGCAAAAGTCAGAAGAAACTCCCCCATATATTAAGACCCATTCGATTCAATACCGATTTTCAGATTAATTTTCCCCAAAAAAAAAAAAAAAAAATTCCATCAATTATGTTAATCATCTCTACTCTTAACCTCCCAACAATCCAGAACCTGCACGCTCCCCCTGCCAAAAAGAAACGAGGACGGCAAATTCCTGGGGAGAGAAGCCTCTTCTTCTCTCTTCTTTGATTCTCTTCTCCGATTCTCCATTTTAACAGAAAATCCATCCGAGAAAGAACAAAAGAAATTAAAAGGCTTCTCTCCCCGGCAGTTTCCCCTTTAGCTCGTCATTTTCCCGCCAACATTGTTCCTTGCTCTTCAGAGACATGAAATATCGCACATGTCTTCCATTCTCCATCCTCCTGATCGCGTTACTATTAAAGCCGAGCCCTGCTCTGAGCGAGGAGGCACGTCCTCCGAATCCCCCGCCGCAAGCGGAATCACTAATCATATCATGCGGCGCCACGGAGCCGGAAACCGGCGAGGATGGGCGGAGCTGGCAGCCGGACGACAGGTACCTAACCTCCACCAGTGGCGGCGAACCCAAGGCCGAAACGGCGGCGTTTCAGGACCCCGCTCTGGGCTCGGCCGTGCCCTTCATGTCGGCCCGGATTTTCGAGTCCCGAGGCGGTTACAAATTCGCGGTCCCCACCAATACACGTGTCATGATCCGGTTCTACTTCTACGCCTCCACGTACGGCACCTTCGACGCGGCAGATTCCTATTTTGCCCTCACGGTCAACGACTACCAGCTCCTCAACAACTTCAGCGCGGCCATCGCGTCCGAAGCGCTGACCCAGGCCTACATAATGAAGGAATTCTCGCTTTTGCCCTCGCCTTCCGGGGTTCTCAACGTCGTCTTCACGCCGTCGGCCGGCTACAAGGGCGCGTTCGCGTTTGTTAACGGCGTCGAGGTGATTCCGATGCCCGACATTTTTGACGACAGCCCGCCGTTGGTCGGGATCGGTGACCAGACGGTGGATTTGACGGCGTACGGGCTGCAGTCGATGTACCGGTTGAACGTCGGCGGGGAGGTGATCCCGCCGGCGAACGACTCGGCCGGGCTGAGGAGGACGTGGTACAATGATTTCCCGTACCTTTTCGGAGGTGCGGACGGGCGGACCGTGTATAAAAAGGACGTCAAGTACCCGACCGACGAAGTACCCGAACCCGTTGCGCCGCGGTCGGTCTATACCACGTCTAGATCCATGAGCGAGGATCCGATGGTGAACCAGAAGTTCAACTTGACGTGGGTGTTCCAGGTGAGTGCCACGTGTTCATTTGCTGGTTAACATAGAAATGTGTTTGAAGGAAAATGTTTTGACTTTTGGACACCCACAGTAGCTAATTTTAGCATTTATTCACGTAAATTCGTACTTATTTATTATGTAATGGCAATCATTATTCACGCAATCGAAATTGGAAAAAGAGATACGAACAAAGAGAAATAACCAATCCATGAAAGAATAGTAATAATTATTCACTTAATTTGGTATTTATTCAACGTACCAACATAATGTTGATACTATAAACCAAACAAATAACAAATAGAAGAAGTCGGATCAACCCAACTTCCATAACATCATAAACATCATTAATGTTTATGACGTTATTTTTTAATATTTATGTTGAATTTTGATACCATAACGTCATAATTTTGATACCATAATGATTGTACACAATTTGGTATTGAGCACTTCTACTATATATGCTATAAAGTATTGGTGCTTTAATGTACAATTTAAAGTTGTACAATAACGTTAAATGTATAAGTTCAGGTTGTACCATAAAGCAATTTATACAATTATGTTATGGTACAACTTCACAACTTGAAGTTGTACCATCACTTAAATGTACAAGTTCAAGCTGTATTATAAAAGAATTTGTACAAAAAGTATATGTACAATCTAAAGTTGTACCATCACGTTAAAGGTACAATTTCAAGTTGTACCATAAAGACACAATAGCATTGTAAAATTCCTCTTTGGTGTTTATTAAGCATATTATTATTTATGCACGCCGTTTTAAAATCGAAAAATATAACAAGATAGATGTCATTACGTATATTATGATCATAAAAATTCAAATTTAAATTCATAAAATATGTTCAATACAAATTATTAAGAAAATATTTGAATTAGTCATGATACATGATCACAAAAAATACAATAAACTAAAAAAATGCATGAATTAAGTGCCATAATCTCCCGCCAAATTTTTCAATGCATGTTTGATTAACGGTGTCTTACTATTTTCATTCTCCTCCTAATGTTCTCTCCTTTTGGCTCCCTCGCTATCTTCCAGGTCGATGCCAACTTCACCTACATGGTCCGCCTCCACTTCTGCGACGGCGAGATGACACGTGCCAACCAGCGCGCCTTCCACATCTACCTCAACAACCAGACCGCGCAGGAGACCGCCGACGTGATCGCGTGGACCGGCGGCAAGGGGATCCCCATCTACAAGGACTACGCCCTCTACCAAAACGACAAGAGCGGCGGCAACCTCTGGCTCGCCCTCCACCCCAACACCGCCAGCCACCCGGAGTTCGTCGACGCCATCCTCAACGGCGTAGAGGTCTTCAAGCTCAACAGCGTCAGCAAGCGGAGCTTCGCGGCCCCGAACCCGGAGCTCTCGGAGATGATGTCAAGGGTCGAGGACGCCAGGGCGGCGAGCAGTTTCGAGTCCGAAGGCGGCGGCCAGGTGGTCGGCGCGATCGCCGGTGGGGCCACCGGGTTGGCCGTCGTGGTCGTCGTCTCGGCGGTCGTGCTCCACAAGAAGCGTCGGACGGCGGGAAAGTCCTCCCGCCGTTCCGGCAGCTCCAGCAATTGGCTCCCGCTCTACGGGAATTCCCACACGTCGAGCAGATCGACGGGGTCGCGGAGGAGCACCAATAGCAGCCACATGTCGACCGTTGCGCAGGGTCTCTGTCGACACTTCTCGTTGCAGGTACAAGTTTTTCAGTATAGTTTGCCAATATATACCATAACCATGAACCATTAATTAGAGCTGTGGGTTTAAATAATGTAGTCACAATCGCAATTTTTACGTGAGAGTATTTTGGTGAGCTAGAAACGTAAAAACGTAAGATTCTAATCTTTAAATCGTAGATTCTAACTACACACTTCTGAGTGAAAAAACGTGATTTTATGTAAAAGCGTTTTGGTGACACTAAAAGTGTAAAAGCGTAAGTTTTAAGTTTTAAAGCGCGATTTTGGCTACATTTAGAATATGACTAGTCTATACTATGCTGGTTTATCAACCCTACATCTCTACTATGTTTTACATCAAACGTACTTTGTACTTTAGAAGAGTTTTTGAAAGTGTCATTCTATTAAAAAATTTATCCAAAAATTGTCAACCATGTTTCACACGAGCTAATATCGGTAAAATAAGAGCGGAAATGTTAGTTTGCAACTCTATTTATTTCTCAAACTCTCACACTGAAATGAAATTATTAGGAGTGTTGAGGCATAAAAAAGAAATTAATCAAAAATATTTTATTGAAATTATTATGGGTATTTTGGATTATTTGTGCCCACAAACGTAACCAAAGTTCAACCATAATTGAAAATACGGTATATTCGATGGAAAAATAATATAGTAACATGTTTCATAAAACGGCATAATCGTTATTTTCATCATAGTTTCATTATCTTATTTCTTTTACATAGAGGCACAATTCCAACGTAATTATTTTGTAGTGTGATCATTATTTATAGTCACTCTAGAGAGATTAATTCAATATGCTACATGGCTAGTTAGTTTATTAAAATGTCTAAATAGTTTAGTATCCATTATGCAATCAAACTAACGATTCCCCATTCCCTAACCCGCAGGAAATCAAGCACGCGACAAGGAATTTCGACGAAGCGAAAGTAATCGGCGTCGGAGGGTTCGGGAAAGTGTACAAAGGCGTAATCGACGGGACGATGGAAGTGGCAATCAAGAGATCCAATCCGCAATCGGAACAAGGCGTCAACGAGTTCGAGACCGAAATCGAGATGCTATCCAAGCTGAGGCACAAACACTTGGTCTCCCTGATCGGATTCTGCGACGAGGACGACGAGATGGCGCTGGTGTACGATTTCATGGCGAACGGCACTCTGAGGGAGCATCTGTACAAAGGGAACAAACAGCCGCTGCCATGGAAACAGAGGCTCGAGATCTGCATCGGATCCGCCAGGGGATTGCACTACCTCCACACGGGGGCGAAGTACACGATCATCCACCGCGACGTGAAGACGACGAACATCCTGTTGGACGGGAAGTGGGTCGCGAAGGTTTCGGACTTTGGGCTGTCGAAAACTGGGCCGGATCTGAACGCTCAGGCCCACGTTAGCACGGTGGTGAAGGGGAGTTTTGGGTATTTGGACCCGGAGTATTTCAGGCGGCAGCAGCTGACGGAGAAATCGGATGTGTACTCGTTTGGGGTCGTTTTGTTTGAGGTTTTGTGCGCCAGGCCGGCTTTGAACCCTAGCTTGTCGAAGGAGCAGGTTAGCTTGGCGGATTGGGCGCTTCAGTGTCAGAGGAAGGGGAATTTGGAGGACATAATTGATCCGTTGTTGAAAGGAGATATCAATCCAGAGTGCTTGAAGAAATTCGCGGAGACGGCGGAGAAATGTTTGGCTGATGCTGGGGTTCATCGGCCTTCCATGGGGGATGTGTTGTGGAACCTTGAATTTGCTCTGCAATTGCAGGAGAATCCCAAGGCCGCCGCGGCGGCGGCGATTGGACAGAAAGGAGGAGAAATCGGTGGCGGCAACGGTGGCGGTAGGAGGAGGGGGCTGTCGACGGTGGATGAGGAGGTTAGTGTATTGACGAGTGATGACACGGACGATAGTGAAATTTTTTCGCAGATAGTGAATCCCAAAGGAAGGTAGGGGGAAATTTTTCAGTGAGAAGAATAAGAGAAGAGAATGTACAAAGAAAAAAAAAGGGGATGATCAATCTGTGTAGACAATTTAGACATAACCTATGTAGAAGATTTTTTACGTAAATATCTCATTTTTTGTATATCGGTTTGTAACTTTGATCCTAGTATTTAAGGATACAATTGTCATGGCGGGAAAATTATGGTGGACTCCTGCAAAATTAGACACTCTAATGATGTAGTCTTCTCACTCTTTTCTTTTTCGTGTTTAGAATATAGATTTTGATTATGCTTTGATTTTTTTTTTGGATAAGGGTGATATAGGTTCATTTTTGTTGCTATTAAGGTACTACTTAAGGGATTTGAACCTGGGACCTCCAGATTCTAGGCTAGTGGTGTTACCACTAGACCAAACCCTTGTTCGTTTTGATTATGCTTTGATTCCAAGCCAATTGTTTACTCGTGTGTTCTCGTTGTGAAAAATTATGGATTGCTCTACGAGAGATTATTGAGTACGACCCGCTTAATTTCATTATCGCTCGTTTTCTTTATATTTTCTCCATTTTTTCTTAAAAAAATCCGAATGAATAGTTTAGAGCAGGCATGAGGTGACTTTTGGTAAACCATAAGTAACCTTACTTCGAGTGAGCCGGTGAGGTTACACACTTAACCACATGGTCAGTCGGGTTGATCACCCATAGTCAATTAGGTTACAACTCGCAGTCACAAGGTTGGTTAGATCGATCTCATGGTTAGGAATGGTAATGGATTAGATGAGTGCCCGATAGTGCATATCCATTACGTTACCCAAAATAGTTAGGATTTTACATACTCATACAAAGATCTGAAGAACATCAAAATCATATTTATACTCGATTGGGTTACTGGAAGATTAACCTTGAATATTAATTTCTCTTTACAATTTTAATCAACATGATAACAATGACACATATACTAACATTACACAAGTGAGAATCAAAACAATAAATTACTAAATTATAAAGAAAGTTAGTAAAAAATAATACATTCCACAAAAAATCATATATGTATAATATAAAATACATTGAGAAACATTTTTAGACAAAATACATATGCATGTATATAATCGGGCGGATTCGAGTTGGATAGTGATAAAACATACCCACAATTATACATAACATTCTGGTTCATATTTTACCCATACCCGTTAAAATCTTTCGGGTTCGAATTTTACCCACCAAATAAGGTTGAATTCTGGCGGGTATCCTAAGGTATAGTTATTTTTTTCCATTTCTTCTTGGTTGACTATGATAATAAAAAAAACTCGTAGTGGAAAGTACCCATGAGCCGCAACCCATGTGAGTAGGGAGGGCAAAGGGTTCTGCCGTTCTGGTGGGGTCGGTTTTCATATATACCATTCCCGATCCACAATTTTAAAATGTTAATCATCCCCGTAAACTAAAACTGTGCGATAATGTATTATAATGTTTTGGGAATATAGAGAAATAAAAGTGTTAAAGCGAATGAATTTACAACATAGCTATAACATATATTTGGATATATCGGTGTAAAATTATGAATACTTAAAAATTTCAAAATCAAACTAAACTTATTATCCTTTTGTCGAATGCGTGGAAAATCCAGCCAAAGATAATAAAGATTGGGTACCTGACGAGGTATTTTTCATCTTAGCCTTCCAAAATCGAAATAGTTACTGCGGCTGCGAAAAAGAAAACAAGAAAAAACTTACTGCGGTGCGCGGGTACCTAAGGGTTTTGGCAAGTTCCAGACTTCCAGTACAGGTTTTAGCTCGCATTGCCGACTACCGTCACTGCTCAACAATGGTGCTAGGGTTCTAGAGGAGCCCCCTTTTTTTTTCCCCCTCTCCATCCAGTTTTGCCTCTATCTTTCTTCATCCTGCGATAGCTCTTCCTAGTTTAAGCTCCCGATGGTGGATTTTGCCGGCGACGACGACGACGACTTCGGCGACCTATATGCAGATGTTGAACTTCAAGCAGCTTCCGCCATCAACTCCAGAACTAGCTCCGCCAAATTCCACTTCCCGTTGGAGCAACAATCCCTAATCCAGCAATATGATAAGGCCAGTAACAGCAAAGCTGACAATGCGAGACCCATTTCAGAAGGGGAAAACGTCTCCTCCTGTCCCAATCCGTCGAAATTGGTAAGGATTTGTTATGTGGATCAGAATGATGTCTTACTGGTTTGTTTAATTTTTTTTTTTCGCTCTAGAAATTGTTGTGATGGAGGTGTTAAGGTCGAGTTCTGATACTCATGGAGCAACAAAATGGAAAACCAGAGGTGCCCAACGTTGCTTGAGATAGAATGAAAGCTATTTAAGTTCTTCTATGAGCTTCTAACAGAGGTGGGATAGACTAGTTTCGCAGTCTCACCATTCAGTGACTATATAGAAGGGGTTTCTTGCTTGCCTTCTCATTTGCATTTGCTAAGTACTCTTTTGGCTTACAGACCACTCTGTTCTTCAGTTCCTTATTCTCGTGCTACTATGAAGCAGAATGAGTCGGTAACTGTTCCATCCCATTCTTTTAAATCAACGAGGAGGGATTCAGAGGGCAGCGAGTGTTTACAAGGCAATGTGGCAAAAGTTAACAAAGTTTCTAATGTTTATGCTGCTGCCGACTCAGTTGTATCCCATGCTGGACGTGGTTTCCCACTTCCAGTGTATAGGTTAGTAATTTCGACTACGTTTCTCTTTCCACACACAAGTAATTCGTTTATGTCAGAGAAGGTAGCAGGGTTCATCACCTTTATGTCAAGCATGTGTATATAGTTTAGGATCGATTTTGTGTCTAAAATGAACTATTTGGGGAAGGTTTGTGTTCGTATATTGAGGGCAAGAGTTTCACTGGGTCTTTTGCTGTGCATTTCATTGTGCAATTTCGATAAAATGGAAATTTCATTTTACTTGTGTCAGGACAATTTATGATGTAAATACTGACACGTTTGGAGGGAAAAGATGGGGGTATCAGGGAGCTAATATGTCTTTTTTACCCAATTATGGTTTCAATGAAGACAGTTGGAGACAATACTGTATGACTGTGGTAAATTCTTTCACCCTTACATTTATGGTCAGGATATGCAACATTGTGCCTTTGAGATGCCACTCAGACTCCAGTCTTTACTTTTTGCAAGATGCTAAGGCTCTAGGCTGGTCATCCAGATCGAATGAATCTCATTTTGCCGCTTGTAACTCAAGCATATAGTCACCATATTTCTTTCTGTTATACAAAGAATAACTTCTATCATTTAACTAAGATTATTCTGATCCTTTTGTGTCAATTTAAGTGTTTAGGACAGTAAGGGCTCAAGTATCTCTTGTCACCTCACCTGTAGAATCATAAGCTTTGATAGTTGGTTTGTTTGGAGAAAATGCAATCTGCTTCCCTTTTTAATTTGTTAGTTATGACTTCCTTTGATGGAATGATCTATGATGAAAGTTGGAGGACTCTATTTCAACACAGATTAGCATGCTATAATATACTGACACTTGTGACACCCTGTTGATGGTTTCAGCCAAAAGGCCGAGCAATTGAGGTGGAAGATAGTGGCGGTGAACGTTTTCCCACCATGAATCAGAAGTGCCCAGACAATTGGGATTCTGATGTGGTTATTGAGGTACTGTTTAGGACTTATGCCCCTGTAATCCACATTTATATGTTAACCATGCTATGCTCTTTTCTTATTGCTTCATCATTTTCCAGATCAAGGTGCAGGATTTTGATGAGAATTCAAATGTCTTTAGCAAAAGGGATTTAAGCGGGAAAAGTAGTGGAGATAAAGTGTCAAAAAGCTGCGTGAAGAGTGCTGATGTTGTAGCGGAGGCCAGCCATTCGGGTGCGGCCAGTGGAGATTGTGTGTCTTTGGGTTCTCCAGAAGGAACTAGGTATTCATCCTTTGTTAAGGGTTGGTTCATTTGGCTATTGTTATATTGCCTTCTACGTTTGCCAGCAAGAAGGGCTTAATCGATGTGTACAATTGTGTAAAATGCCTTGTTTCTCTTTACAAATGGGAGAAGTTAAATGATCGATATTTTGTGTTATATGTGATTAGGTCATCCCAGTCATTGTTCGAAACGAGGGAATCGTCCCAGCATCCTGATAACTGTGAAAGAGACCATATCCCTGATTCTGATGAGCATCACCCTCGTAGAACTCGAGTGAAAACAGAAGAGTTTGCTGAAGCCGTTGAAAGTGAAAGAGATTCAAAGGATGGGTCGGTAAGGAGGTCGAGCAAGTCAGATCAACATCAGAGTGATAGTGACTCATTGATCGATGACAAAAGTCGCTTTAGCCTGACGTTATCTTGCTCTGAAAGTGATTCTGAACCTTCTGCAGATAGTTGTCGTGGTGTATCTAGGTGTTCATCTTTGGGAACTGAGTTACATGATACAGTTTCATCTGTCCACTGTAAAAGTAATGACTCAGAACAAGCAGATAGTGACCAAAGACGCCTGGCAAATGACAGCCTCTTAAATGGTAGACGGAGGTGTGAAAACAAAGGAGGCCAAAGTGTCAAAAGTGAGCATGATTTGGATCTCCCCAAAAGGAACGATTCCTCCTACTTTAGATCCAGAGAATATTTTTCTGGAGATGGTGGTCAAAGGTGGGGTGCTAGTTATGTTGAAACTGATCATAGAGAACATCCTCTGAAGAAGCGTCATAAGAACCTTGAAGGTGAGGCCTATACCTGGGACAGAGGAAATCAAAGTGCTCGGCTCCGTGATAGAAGGATTACTGAGATGTTACAACTGAAACATAGATACAATTCACTGGACGAGGAATATGGAAGGCACAGTCCATTTTCAGGGAGAGGAATCAATGCTTGTGAAAGAGGGCTTGGACATAGTGAAAAGGGTAGACTGAATTTGGATCATCTATGGCATGAAGAAGAAGAAATGGATAGAGAGTATTGGAAAGCCCATCACCAGGACAAGAGTAATAATAATCAGGACCCAAGCTTCAGGTCAAGATCTTATACATCCAATCAAAGTAGATGGCAGAATGGTAATATTTCTAGAAGATATGATCAGTATGGGTCAAGTGTGATGAGTAAGTATTCTAGGCCGAGGGAGGAACTTTATGATTCTGGTACCTATGGTGGCTGCTTTGGCAGTGAAGTCAAGTTTGACAGTGGTTTTGATGATCAACATCAACTTGCAAAGACAAGATATGTTTGGAGATCCAGAATTCGCCAAGGAGAAGAATCCAAGTCAAGTCACAGAGGTTTTCAATCCTACCCTGATAGATTTTCTTGTTATGGGGAAGCTCTTGGACATGAAAATATAAGTGGGTATGGGATATTAAGAGAAAGACATTCAGAAAACTTAATCAAAAGCAATCTCATGTACAAATGTGAGCGTGAGAAGATGGTTATGACGTGCGTTAATGGTCCAGTCGGCTTTGTTTCCCAGAGAGTGAAGGTAAAAGATGGAAAAACTGAGGTCTAGATGTTAGTGCTATGTTTTCCCCCATTGCATGCTATATAATTTTTTTTGTTGTCTGACATCCCGCTGCATCTCACACTCCCTGCATCCATTCTCGAAGCTGTTATGGCAACACATTTCTTTTGTATTGGATTTCAATAGGAGCATGCATGTCTCGGTGAGGTCTCGAGTTGGACTGAAACATCAAGGTCGATTTGAAAGCTCATCCTTTCTGATCTAGTTATGTCCGGTTTCTTCTTTCTTTAGTTTGATTTGTTCCCTTCTGAAGCTGTTCTGGCAACACCTTTCTATTTGTTGGATTTAAATAGGAGTCCGCATGGTTTTGTTGAAGTCACCGTAACAGCATAGGTCGATTTGAAAGCGCATCCATTCTGATTTGGTCCTGTCTGGTCTATTCTTTCTTTAGTTTTAAGAGTCTGTGGAATCAAAACAAATCGAACTATAATCGGTCCAGTTTGATTATATCCAAATGTTGATTTGCTCCTGGGTGAACCGATTCTCTGCCCATCCGTAGATTTCGATGCCATTACCGAACATGTACAAGTCTATTGTTAGCGAAACTCATTATGAATTCTATCATGTTTATACATTTTTAACCATTATGTTGTATTTTCCATAATCCCTCTGATGTTAAAGGGAAATGAATGGTTTGAGGACCAAGTAAAAGAATTAGTTCTTTGTCTACCCAGCTTATTGTTCATGCAATGGAGAGCCTTTTAGCTCTACTTTTATATCTTGACATCCCAATGTTTATCGTAGAAGTTTGAAATCTATGCTGCAGAAACTTGAACAACTCGATGCTGATGTTTTCTACTGACAATATTCTATACAGCTATCCGGGAAACAGCATGCCCCAGGGAAGCTAATGCCCAAGATTAAGCCAAAGAAGAAAAATCAGAAGTATTTGAACGCACCTCTTTCTGGAAAGGCAAACCAAAGGGAACAGAAGCCACAAACTGAAGGCAACGATGGTCGGGTTGCAACTACGTTTCAAGGGCAGGGGCAGAAGAACGAATCAGATATCGAAGAGGGCGAGATTGTAGCCGGAGAACCCAATACAAAGAAGGTAAAAGCACCTCAATGTGAGAAGGCTGATTCTTCTAATACCGTGACTAACAAGGCAGTGTATGATGAACAATGGATACTGGAGAGGTTGGCTAAGATGGAGAAACGAAGGGAGCGTTTCAAGGTGCCTGTTGTAGTTCCAGAGAAGGTCAGTACTACTGATCTTAATCCACCTTCTTGCTCTCAACCTCAAGCTGACTCGTCGGTTAGTACAGGCGAGACTAAGCTCGAACGACCAGCCAGGAAGAGGCGCTGGGCTGGGATTTAAGTCTTTAGTTGGCCGGTCATTATTTCATTCTTGTATGGTCCTCTGCAAGGGGAACAGTTTTGATTGTTATGTGGATAGTAGGATCAATTTCTCTCTGTGACTAAATAAAGTTGAGAGAAATGATATGATGCTGTTTTTTCTGTTTGTTTCACTCCTGAGCAAGTGAAGTGTGCAGACAGCAGACTGATTTCTAGTTCTACTCCTACCACCTGGACATGAACTGATTGAATTGTGTACTTGCGTGGGCCTGATGCTTTAGTCTGATTGGGCCGGAATGACTTAAGGCCCACCAAAAGCCATCTTGTGCCTAGTTGATTACTTTTCTCACCCGGTGTCCTCCCAGATAGACTGCGATTTCCAACCAGCAAGAGGGCTCCACGTCGCACTAAAAATCTGCCAAGTCGGCACACTAGCTAAGCCACTCGAAAACATGCACGACGTGGCTGCTCCGAAGCCACCGGCATTTATGAGTGCAATCACGTAAAAGCCCCTTCACGTCCCAGGCAAAAATGGAAATGGGCGCGAAGCCTGCCGTTGTAAAAATATCGGATATTTTCGTAATTTGCTGCTCTTCTTCCTCAGAAGCGCGCCCAATTGAAACAAAACCTCCCTGTCCCATGAAAAAAAGCTTCAAACAGTTGGAAAAAAATATATTTTTTTTTAAATTAAAGAGAACAGTTACAGAGAAATGGCAATGCAGCTATGTTCTCCGTCTGCTTCTTCTTCCTCCTCTTCCTGTCCATGTTCAAATCCAAGGTTAACACTCTTCAAAATACCGAGAAAACCCCTCCGACTCCCGTCTTCCTCTGGGCGAGCAACCGCGGTCCTGATGGACCGTTCCGTCAAATCACCGGCGAGGGGAGTCCCGCTGGAGAAACGGAGCAGGAACGAATTGGAGGAGAAAAAGCCGCCTCCGGCGCCGGAGGGAGTGCTGGTGGTCCGCCGGCCGGAGATCGAGTCCGACCGTCCGGAATTCGTCGAGGAAGGCGAGGAGATAAAGAAGCCATCGGCGGCGATCGACGGTAAGCTGGAGGAGTTCGCAAAGAAAATGCCGATTTTCGAGCCGGATAGACTGGATGAAAACGCAGGGGCAGGATCTGCGCAAGCGAAGCCTCTTTCAGTGAATTTGGATCTGGCTTTGTACAGGGCCAAAGTGTTGTCCAGGAGCTTCAGGTACCAGGAAGCTGAGGCAATACTCCAGCAGGTATCGTTAATGGCTGCGATTAGCAATTTTGGTTTTTAGTAAAACGACTCTGGTTTTGAATTCCTGAACTGAAACCAGGTGTGAATTGGTGGTTTTTTTTTAAGTGTATAAGTACATGGCCAGAGGACGGAAGAGCTTATGTTGCATTAGGTAAGATTTTGGGGAAGCAATCTAAAACAAGGGATGCTAGAGCTGTGTACGAGAAAGGCTGCCAAGCTACTCAAGGAGAAAACCCTTATGTTTGGCAGGTAATTGTTTCAGCTTAGCTTATGGCTTATGCAATTGGAAATGGAGATGAACTACAATGATCAGTTTTAGTTAGGACTTTTGTGTTCATAGCTTCGTTTCTGTGTAGAATTTGTATGCGGTATAATTACCTCAAAGATAATTTCTATTTGCATGGATTGGAATTTACCAATGGCTGCATTGATGGAACAGTGCTGGGCAGTTTTGGAAAATAGGATGGGTAACATAAGGAGAGCAAGAGAGCTGTTTGACGCAGCCACAGTTGCTGACAAGAAGCATATAGCTGCCTGGCATGGTTGGGCAGTTCTAGAGCTCAAGCAGGGGAATGTAAAGAAGGCGAGGCAACTACTTGCTAGAGCCCTCAAGTTCTGCGGAGGGAATGAATATGTTTACCAAACGCTAGCTCTATTGGAAGCTCGAGCGAATCGGAGTGACCAAGCACGGTACTTGTTCAGGGAAGCAACTAAGTGCAATCCAAAGAGCTGTGCCAGTTGGCTTGTAAGTAAGATCTATAGGTTCTTTGATTTGGAATGGTAGTTCTGTATGAATTGTAAAGCTCAACCTATGGCATATGTTTTTAGTTTAATGGTCGCTCAATTTTGTTACAGGCATGGGCGCAGCTGGAGATGCAGCAGGAGAATAACCTTGTTGCAAGGCAACTGTTTGAGGTACTTGATCCTTGATTCATTATGCTAGAGTCTTAAGTGCATATCTGCCAATACAACTTGCTACTAGGCTGAGTTAGCACTAGTTCTGATGGAATTAGTATCGGAATGGATCAATAGAAATGGTTGCATTGGTCAGGGCCGTGAAAGTTAGGTTTTGTATTTCAGGGGCTCGTTTATTGGAGTTTTAGTGAAAGTGAACCACAACAAACAGTAACACTATTTCTAAGGTCTTTTTTTTAGTAGGGATGGAAATGATCAGAATATTTCTGGATAATTACTAGTTGAAACTGAGACGAATAATGAGTTTGGTTGAACGAAGTATGGGATCTCCAGTGTCTCCTATTTAAGTCCATATGACAGCTTTTATTAATAAAGTGGTTGATTTTAATCTCTAATTTGAACCATTTTGACTGAAAATCTGATGGAGATGATGAACTGACTAGTAATTTAGTTGAATTGCAAACTTGAGTGACAAGTTGGTTAAAAACTTAACAAGTTTAGTGATCTGATGTGTTGGTAACCATGAAGTTCAGTGTTTGGATTTGTAAACCATCGTAGAAACTCTCTAAGCTTTTGTTTTCCTTTCTGGTGGCGTGATATTTATTTGGTGTTTTTTTTTTGTTTTGCCTTGCCTAATTTGTAGAAAGCAGTCCAGGCAAGTCCTAAGAACAGGTTTGCTTGGCAAGTGTGGGGTGTATTTGAGGCCACCATAGGCAACATAGAGAAGGCCAGGAAGCTCTTAAAAATAGGACATGCACTCAACCCAAAGGATCCTGTTTTACTTCAGTCTCTTGCTTTAATCGAATACAAGCACTCGACAGCAAATCTTGCCAGAGTGTTGTTCAGAAAGGCATCGCAATTGGACCCTAGGCACCAACCAGTATGGATTGTAAGTTTCTCTCTGGTGTGAACTGAAATGACATTGTTAATTTCTTCGTCTGTTGATAAGTCAATTTGATATTTACTTCAACTTACTTTCCAGGCTTGGGGATGGATGGAATGGAAAGAAGGGAATGTGTCTACTGCAAGGGAATTGTATCAAAGAGCTCTCTCAATTAGCACCACCACTGAAAGTGCTGCTCGATGCCTGCAGGTAACTAGCTAGAAGATATTTACTCTATTTTGAAATAGTATAGGTGGCAACTTTTCACCAACTAGTGGTCCTATCCAAATCTAACCCAATGATAACTCTGCACGCTACAGCCATAACTCGGCTTGAACTGGTTCATGTTGGTTATGAGATGAGCCAACTTGTAATGGTTCTTAACTGTTATGGCCTGAATCAAATCAAATCAAATCAAATATTTTCGTTGGATTTTAGCGTCTTTGGTCAACTCATTTGTGACCTGCAATCCCAAATGACCAAGTTAGTCATGACCCAAAACCAGTAATGATCAGTCTGTCATGATCCGGGGGTGGGAACGTCTGTTTTCTGTTTTGGAATCAAGCCAAATTGTTGTCCACCTGACCCTATGCACAACTTATAATGTTACTAAGCTGATTCTGAACCATTTGCCACTTTTTGGAGGAGGTAAAAATGTCCATCTGGAATAAATTCAGTACCTATTTTCACCAACTTGTGTTTGTGATCACTTAGGTACTACATTTTGACCCCAGTTGCTCTCCCATTGCAGGCTTGGGGTGTTCTTGAACAAAGAGCCGGTAATCTATCCGCAGCTCGAAGATTATTCAGATCATCACTGAACATAAACTCTCAGAGCTACGTCACTTGGATGACATGGGCAAAACTAGAGGAAGATCAAGGAAATGCTGTGCGTGCTGAAGAAATCCGCAACCTTTACTTCCAACAGGTTCAGTCATCATATATCATACCAGGAGCCAAAACAAGAACTCTTCAAATCAAATGATGCAACTAACTCTTTACCCCCTTTTCGTTTTTTACAGAGAACAGAAGTTGTGGACGATTCATCATGGGTTACCGGGTTCTTCGACATCATTGATCCAGCACTCGACAGCATAAAGAAGCTCTTGAACTTGGACCAGAACTTCTACAAGAAGGAAGCAGAAACAGGAGCCAAGGATAACAACTACAATAGCATGCTTGATGAACAAGGCAGTGTGAAACAGGATGGAATGAGCTGGCTCGATTTGGATTCGTTCATCAAAACAAGGTTGTCTCTTGATCCGGCGAAACTGGACCTCGTTCTGGATTCGTCTCCGAGTCAAGCTGTGGCCGCAGCTCGGCTGCTTAAATCGCCGAGAAGCATATGGAGACCTGAGCAAAGATCTGTCGCATTGTCGGAGCCCAGAGTTTAAAGTGCCTGTAGAAACCCATGCACTTTAACTAGTAGATACTGTGCTTGTTTTTACTTCTTAGCAAACTACCTTCAAATTTGTACAAAAAAATGCCACGTAGGAAAAGAAATGGATCGTTTAATTGATTCAGCCAATTAATCATAATGCGTTAAGCATAAGTGCATGGGTTTCCCCTATCCGTTGCAGCAAGCCAATTTGGTTGACTAACAGCGTTGACTTTTTGCTGATCAGCTAAAATTTTATTTAGCATAAAAGGCTTAGAAGTCCCTGGGATCAACGAACACATTCCCTATCCGTTCCCCTGACAAACTTTCATTCTGGTCCTCTTCTCCGCCGCCGCCGGCGGCGCTCCCTTCGGCTACTTTCTTCAAGTACCAGACGTCGTCGACGCACGACGAGCAGGATTCTTTCGGCACAAACTCCAGCAAAGGGTCCGACACAGCAAGCTCGGTGATGATCGCCTTGCAGCCTCTCATATTCTCGCCCAGCTTCATCACGAAGCTCCAAACGGATCTCATTAGCTCCTGCTGCCTCTCTCCTTCTCCGTAGATACCGTAGAGGAAAAGAAACCCGCCCGGCGGCGGCGGCTGTGGCGAGTCGCTTATCGGAAATCTCAGGCACGGCAGAAATTTGTCCCTCGCTCGACTGAGAGTCAATTGGAATCGCTTATTGACTCGACGATTATGATTGATAGCATTATTGGGCTCGCAGGAATTCCAAACGCTGAAGACTATCGTCGATCGGAGTCGAGTGGTATCGGTACCGCCGCGGCCGTTGAAGTAGGAAATCCATGTCCCCAGGCTCAGGTTTGCTTTCAATATGGCGTCGAAGTCGACCGGGTACATGACGTGTTTCTGGTTCCCTGATCTGAGTTTGTTGTTGTACAGAGAAATCGCCTGCTCAATTTGCAGCTTCTCGACCTTTATTTCAGGAAACGGATCGAGGAGCAGACGAGGGATTTGTTCCTTGTGATGCACGAAGATGACTAAAGAGGCGAAGTCAGCGTAGCCAAATTTGGAAGCGAAGAGATTCGTGGAGGCGACATTGTTCTTCAGGGTGGCGATCAGGATGTCCTCCGCGCCTTTTCCGATCAGCCATTCTTCGGCCGACTTCACCAGCTTTGTTCCAATGCCCATTCTCCTGCGTTTCAGGTTTCGTCAGCCAGGTGTTTGATTAATTGTCTCAGAGAGTAGGAAAGACGGGAAAATCGAGAAGAAAGAAGAGAAATACTGATGTATAGGAGAGACTCGAAGGCCAAGGATGCAGCCCATTCTCACATTTGCCGCTTCCAAACCAGTCTTCATAGACTTGATGCAGCATCTCACCATGCCAACAAGCTCACCATTGCCATGCAGCTCAGCGACCTGTGTTCAAACCATTAGCTAGCAAAGAGCAAGAGGTAAAAAGAAACAACCCATTTTCTGACCATTACTATGATGAAAACCCACCAGCATAACATGAACAGGATAGAGCCTAATTCTGCGCAAAGGGTCGCCCATTATGCTGCCGAATATGGAGACCCTTTCGTTGTCAATGTCAGTTGATGACCCAATGTTCTCGCAGCTCATCTCCAGCTTCCCTACCATTTTAGCATCTCTCTCTTTGTTGTATTCCCTGATCAGCACCAATTCCTCAACCATTTTCAGAGTTTCTGGAAAACCCAGCAATGTCTCTATCATACTTCTTCAAAAGCTAGCTGGCACCACCTTATATTACTAGTCTCACATTCATAATTCTACATAGATTGTATTTCTCCTTTATTTATGCTTTTCCCATTTGATATGTATGCCCCTGCCAGCACGTAACTATGCTCTGGCGAGACATTGGCTATCCACCACAAAATGGGGCGGTGGTATATCTATATGTAATCATTTACTGAATCTTAATTCAGTCATCATTTCCTTCTCCAGTTGCCATGCCATGGGAGCTGCTTTTCAGGTTTCTGTACTCTTTGCTCAGGTGATGAATGAAGACAGAAGAGCAGTGCATAGAGCTACAGTGCATGTTCTATGGTGATGCTTGCATCAATGGGGAAATGGAAAACAAGTTGCAGTAACCCTTTTGTTTTGTTGTTTGAGCTGTTAGATTCTCTGCAGGTATACCTACTGACTTGATTGATCACAAAATGTGAGGTGGAGAAGACTCATCAAGGATTAGAAGGAGAAAAGCTTATGGTAAGTTACAGAACATTGAGAAGATGAGTCAATCTGACAGCAACACGAATAGTCTTGTCAATGATCATTTATGGCAGTTGAAGAAACAACACTACAACTCATTTTTTTCTTGTGTAGTCGTACTTCTCCAACCAATCCGGCCATGTTGCTGAAGACTCCTTGCGTGATTAGTCTGCTGGTGAATTGTCAGTCCTCGGATGAGAGAAAACTTACGAGATAGGAGATTGGACGATTATGATGCATGCGAGTTGTGCAGGTATTCCCACATGCAATTCTTACTATCAAATTTGAAAAATGTTTTTGGTAGTATGTCCTTTTAGGTTCGTTTCATATACCAGAGGACTAAGGAGTACTGTTCAATTGTCGACCTGATTTATTAGTCTTCGATCAATGATATGCTCCTTGTCTTCTTACGTACTCTCTGCAACCAAAAGAGAATCCCACATTTCATCTGTTTTCCTTTTGACATATCCATGGGGTCCCTTCATAACTTGGGCTCATTTGAAATGGACGGGGAACTCTTTTGCAAGCAAAAGAGATGATCAGTAGTTTTGTGTCCTTATTCAAATCGGAAGTGGGTCACGATTAGAACTGAGATATCGGTTTAATTCGGTTGAACCGAATTGAAAAACCAAACGAACACATTCTTTCATACCGAATTGTTAGGGGGTTTACCGATTTTGGTTAATCAAAATTGTTAACTCCAGTTGACGATTTGGTTTCATTTTGAAGAAACAAAAACCAAATAGATTATGTAATGTATGTTTGTGTAAGGAGGTTGTAGTTTTCGTTTTGTTGTCGGGTTTTTCATTTTTGACCGAAATCATAAGTGCAAAACGATACAAAATCGATATAAAAAGTCCAATAAACCTCTTATTGGTTCGGTTTCATTTTTAACCGAAAAGCCAAAACTCAATGGGCAACCCTAGTGACGACTTATAGCCTTGTTTGCAAGGATTTCAATGAGTCAATGAGTAGTAGGGGAGAGAATACAATCTTCTTTTGATTTCGTGCTGACTTATGGTCTGTTTGTTGCTCGTGATTGAGTTACTATATTCAAGCTTATTTGAAGTATTTTCTATTCTGATTGGGTAAAGTGATGATGAGTAAACTAAAAATGCATCTCTTATTAAATCATTACCAAATGGACAAAATAGAATGCTAGATCAGTAGATTGTGAATCAACAAATACCTGTTTGATATAATAAATTATCATCTTAATCGAGCTCCCTATATCATTAATATTTAATATAAACTCTAAAATATACAATATAGGGTTAATATTTAGACCTGCTATTTGTCGTCAACATTTTTTAAAACAGGACCAATTTATCCTTGACTCATTTTCAAACTCTAAGCATATGTCACTCTCCACCAGTCCACCCCGTATCCTTCCCCACAACAACCTCTCCCCAACAGAACACACGCCTGAAACTTTCCAGCTCCCAATCCGGTCGTCGAAAAATGTCGTTGTCGACGCTGCTACTGAAGGAGTAGAAGAAGAATTTGTCGCCGCGGTGAAGAAGTCGTCTCAGAGAGAAGAGTCATCTGTCTAGAAGAAGGTCAATGTTTATTTTGGATTTTTGTTTGTTTCTATAAAATGGTTCGACGCTGAATTTTGTATTTAATTGTTGGTCCAACGCTGACTTTAGGCTTGCAAGAAATGGGCCGACGTCGACTTTTGGGTATGGTCTTTTCGATCGAAAGTTGGGGTAAGGCCGTTTCTAGCAGGTAAAAATATTCATCGGGCAGTATAGTGGCGAAGGGAGAGCTTGAGCACTGTGGTTCCAGGACACTAGGACCTCACTTGTCAAGAAAATAGGGAGGGGGATTGGTAGGAAGATGCCTTTTCAAAATGAGAGATTTTAAGGTTTAGGACCCCTTTGTTAGAAAACAAAAAAGGTTTAGTATTCCACTGTAGGTTATTGCAGAGCTTTCCGCATTACAGAGATTTAGGATTCCAGTCTATCGAAAGTCTGGCTATGCCATTGAGGCAGTGTATTGGTGGGAGGATGACTGAGCATGGTTTGTGAGCCGAAAACAAACGTTTTTTTGGTGGCCTGCCCTGCCCCTAGGCGTCGGATGGTCTGTGCGGCTCGACTGCCTGCATCGGACGACTTGTGGTGGTCGGACTAGATTCAGTTGACTTAACCGTCGTTAGTTGTTCGTTCGGGTTGTATATTAAAATTAATATATGTCTATTAGTAATTAATTAAAGTACTATATTTAGTTAAATATTCTATTTAGTATATTAATTTAAAATAACTGGTCCGACCGGTGCAATGAAACTCCATTTGTTTAAATATGAATATGAATTATATTGATATTGTAGTATATATATGCCTAACTCATTTGGTATTATGATCTCAATTCTTACACGTATTATTAGTCTATTACAGAACATCGGCCGGACCATAGTACTTCACCTGCACGATGGTTTAGACCGGTTTACCATTTTTTTTTTTAAAGGGGACCGGTTTAACAAACTTATTAAGCCAACTAGGTGTTTTCTCTCCAATCCTCTTCAATGCCTACATATTTGAGCTCCATTTATGATTATGCGGAACTATTTCATGACATGGAAAAAAGTGTGGCAAAAAGGAAACACAAGAAAGGAAGACGGTAATTTTTTACAATTTTACTTCAAAGTTCAATGGTTTCACCTGCTGGCGGCCTGGGTCGGTTAACAAAAGGTTAAAGAGGAAAGAATCTGGTGTGCGCGAAACTACAGCTACTATATCATTTGTCAGAGAAACAAAGCTAAAGATCGAAAAACTGAAATCAACAAGAATCGAGTATAGCTATAACATGATAGCATCTGGTGGCCAAAATTCGTTGATCAGTGAATCAACGGTGAATGGAAATCCACGTCAAAAGTTGTGTAACACCTGATCACAGCTCCCAGTGATACGTGTCCACGTAGAGAGAAGCACTGCCCACAGCTGCTTCTGCTCCTCCCACTGCAGCAGCAGAAGGAATATCAGTACCTTCTCTTTCCTCATGTCCACCATGGAAGTAGTTATCCTCGCCGGCGACGGAAGATCCGCCATCGATGGAGTCCAAGTTCCGCCACTTCCTTTTCCGACTCCTCCGCCTGCGCTTGATCGGCGACACAAGGAGGTCCTTCGGCGGGACCGAGACAGCGCCGCCCCCGCGGAGCTTTCTGGAACTCGTAGCTCCGCTGCTGTTCTTCGCGGCGGCCGGAGCGAGGCCAACCGTCTCGACTGCGAGAACCTGGCATTCCTGCCAGTTGAGAGCCTCGAGATCTCGCTTGACTTGGTCGTTCGACGGAGAGAAATCGCCTGAACGCCGGAATAACTCGCCGCCGTCGGCATAATCCTCCTCTTCCAACGTCGAGCGAAACGGCCTCGCCAACTCAATCGTGCTCAACGCGTTCAGCAGCTCGATCTGAGAAAAGAAGTTCGTCAATGGCGGCGTCGAGCAATCAAGATTTCATAATAGAGAGCGGCGGAAAAGTACGGAAGAAAGAAGAAAAAAAATCAACAGAGAAGAGAGATCGGAATTCGCAGAGTACATGCCTTTGGTCGTCTCCAAATCCTGCTGAATCCGTGCATAAAAATCACCTTCTCAAGCAAAAGAAAGAGGAGAAAATCGGTGAGAAACTGTTTGGCATCCGAGAAAATATTTGTGCCTCTAGAGTCTGATATTTTCTTTCTTGATCAGTTTCTTCTAGAAAACCCGAACCAGCAGCAAGGAAAGGGAAAGCGACGGGGTAAAATGGCCGGGAGAGAGAAGAGAAAATTAATTGAACCTGATTGAGCTGGTCGATGCTGAAATTCGCCATGAACGGATTCTCGAGGAAACTTTCGTACTCCTCCAGCGTAAAGCTCGTCTTCACCATTCTCTTCTGCTCTTCCGCTCTCTCTCCCTCTGTGAATCTACTCAGTCTGATGTGTAGACTGCTGCAGCACGGACTCAGGTCTGTAGCTTCTACCTTTTAGGCAACCAAATTTGCCATCTCTCTTCCATATCAGAAATTGGGCTTTCCGGCGGAGCCCAGAAAGGCCAACAATAATGGGCCTGGATTAGCTACAAGCCCAGTATGAGGTCTCTCTACTTTTGGTTTTGTTTAGATTGCCGCTACACTACAGGCGCTACTCCTTAAATGTCCGCGCCAAAACGCTAGAATACAGAGAGCGCACAATTTCGAATTCCCTCTCATTTGTAAAAAAAAAAAAAAAAAACTTGGTGGCCGCCTTTCCTATTCCGATTTTGACGAGTCGGAGCGATGAGTTTAGTTGCCGAGGAGTTCGCTTGCTTTAACGGAGAGTCCGCCATGGAAGTAGACGATACAGAAGAAGGAGAAGAAGATCCGTTCCTTGCGTTCGTCGAGTACGCGAGGTCTGTCCTTTCGCCTGACGACGAAGACGGAGGCGGCGACGGCGGTGGAGATCTTGATAGTAAAGCGGAGGTGAGCCGGCCTGGTTGGAGCTGGATCGCCGCTCGGATTCTCAAGACTTGTATCGCTTACTCCAGCGGAGTGACTGCCGGTATTCTACTGTCGGAGCTCTCTCAGGTACACGCTGATTATTTACTGGTTTCTGCTGCTCCGTTCTCCATTGAAGTTCTTTCAAGTTCGATTGAGTCGAATTCCGATTAGCTGAGTCTTTCGTTTCTTTCGATTTACGGTTATATTTGAGATTAGGCTTGGAGCGAGCAACACAGATTCGGAGCGCCGAAGAAAAGGCCGGAAATCGTGAATCAACTGAAGAAGAAACACAGGAGATCCAAGCTTCCGAACACTGTTACTATCGATTCAGTGCACGAGAAGAATTTTATCACACTCAGTAGTGTTCTCGAAGCTGTCATTGTAGATATCTTCGTCCTCCCTGGTATTTCACTGCTATCTAAAGCCTCATATCTAGAACGTCTCTTAATTTTTGTCTGTGTGTTGTTTACTTTATGATTAGACATTAGAGGCATAGTTCGAATGATTGATTTAGCTTGTGAAATTGCTTCTTCTGTTCTAGGTACGAATATCTACATGCTTACCTTGGGAGATTTCTGGAGCTCTAACACCATCGATCTATTTATGCATAGAAGGTCAGTTTGACTTTTCTTTCCTTGGAAATGGTATTACAACGTAGTCTAATCTACACTGCTGGATAGAAGTAAAATTTAATTCTAGTTTACTCCAGCTTTTGCTCATTTGTCCTGTTTGTTCGGCATTGTTGTGCCTGTTTTCTACTAGTTGTCATAGGGCTGACTTTGCTGTCTCGTTGTTAATCGAACTGTTGAAAATTTGGAACCGAATCAGGAAACACTGAGTTCGTCTAAAATAGAATGTTCAGTCAGGCCGGAATTTTGTAGGCCAGTTTGCTTGTTCTGTGCTTTCACGGAGTACATTATGAAGTCTTACTGGAGACTAGAACTATTGCTTAGAACTGGTCTCTCTATTCTGGTTTCCTTGGAGCTTTCGGTGTCTTGTCTCTACTCTTTTGAGAACTTCAGTGGCCTAGCCATGATTAAATAATTGCGAATTTTGCAGTTAGGTTGTCCTACAGAACACGTTTTACCATAGCACGTTGTATTTTACTTTGTGTCTTGCTTAGTAGACTATTTTGCATCTTTGGTTACTTGTTACTGTTCTAAAATTCAAGCATGAAACATAAGCTTTTTGCTTATTTTCCTGGCAGATACTATGAGTTGGTGGACCCTAGTAATGAGATCTTAAAGAAAGGGAGGGAGATTTTCCTCACTGGATGCTATCTTCGGACAGCTAGAGAAGGATCTGGTTATCCTAGACTGCTTCCAACTGAATACCTTGTGATAATATTAGATGATGCACGTGACAGAGCTCTTTTACCTGCTCTTCTCTTCTAACTTCCTTGATACTAATTTTTTGCTTTGACCTTGATGATTTAAATTCAATGGTGAATATGCAGGATCAGGATGACGATGCAATGCTAATAGCAGCCCGGTTTTGTTCTGATTCTTTCTCTTCAGTTTCTCTCCAACAGGCTCAAAATGGCATTTCTTATTCTCTATATGCAAGGTGAGTTCTACATTTGTCCCCTTTACAAACATACTATATACTGCCTCAGAATGTGTCACAGTTTCAAATTTGTTGAGGTCTTTTGGAAATGTGTTCCGAGTTCAAATGTACAATTCCTTTGGATTATAGAATTCCAAAATAGATTATGTTGAGAACTGTGGTAAGTGACGATCAATTCTAAACAGTAAACACTGAATGCCCTTGTCTTCTATTATGCCAGTTCTAATCACTAATCTGTTTCTGTGCAGGATTGAATCTATTGGACCACTGGAAGCGAAAGGGTCATTTTGTAATGTGCAAAGAAAGCAAGTGACTCTAGTCGACAACGAGGACAAGAGGCTCAAGTTTCTCCTGTGGGGTGAGCAGGTCCTTCTGGCCAATCTTCTGAGGTAATCTAATCTCCTGCTTTATATTGAAGATTGAGATGTCAGTATCTTCTTCTCATAACTTATACTGGCATGCAGTGTTGGAAGCATGCTTGCCCTTGATCAGCCTTACATCACAAGCTCCAATGACATCGCAGTGGAGACCGATAGTGAGATTTGTCTGGAGTATGGAAGTGCCACTCAACTCTATCTGGTGCCTTTCGTTCAGCATGAAGAGCAAGTAAGCAACTTATAGATAGTGCAATGTGTGTATTTGTTTGACCTTCCCGGAAGTAAATTTTTTCAATCTATTTTAGAATCGGGATGTACATTTTAGTTTTAGCAAGAGGAAAAGAAGTGTTGAGGGGATCAAATATGGTTATGAAATAAGTGGCATTAGGGGATTTTATTTATGACTTATAAACATGACACGAACAGTAAACCTTAGTTTGGAACCGCCAAGTTGGAAATCAATTATGTTTTACTCATTTCGTTTTTCAGCTCATAAATTCTGAGAATCCTTGGTTTTTCCTTCTGTTTCTCAGGTCTATATATCATCTTCCTCTTCACAAATCCGACATCAAGGATCAAGACTTTCCTTGACTGCCTTAACTCCCACTCCCAGAGTTTCACAAGTGTCTTTACCATGTGATTCTCTTGGCTCAATTGACTTCAGTAGTTATCCCTTCCGAGTAAGCATACTCTCCTTCAAGGCCTTATAATCAGTATACTGCATTTTCGATATTTGATCCTGATTACATTGTCTTAAGAAAATTATCTCCCTTGTTGAAGTATCACAGTCATTCATAACCGACCTCACCGATAAAATGACTGGGTTCAGCCTCTACGGCATCGTGACAGACATTCATTGTGAAAGAAGCGCCAAAAAAGTAATCTTCTATCTGGGAATCGAAGATACAAGTGGGTCAATTTTGGCGAAGCTACACTTCGTTTCATCTTGGTATATTCATTACAAATCATCTCAAATTCTCAGCATTGACAAAAATGTCAAATCTCATTTTATGGTTATAGATTGGCTCTCATCTGTTCACCTCAGGTCGCTTGGAAGGTTGAGTCCCGGCCACTCTGTCTTCATTTCTGGATTGTCCAGCAACACAAGCAAGAAAAACCGGTGAGCTTTAATGATGAACTTTCACGCACACCATAATTTCTCATTAAGTTCGAACGGTTTCTTCTCCCCATCTGTGGAATCTTTTCATATGGGAATCCGGTTAATCCAACAAGTTGGAAGTTAATAGTAAAACTGTAAGAAACCATGACAAACCAATGAAACCATAACAAAAGATCCTGCTCATACATGTTTTATATTCTGGCAGCCTAGAAGTGTCATGGTTTGAGAATCAACCCGGCTCTTCCTTTATAAACCTGAGTTGTCTCCCAGCCTTACTGAACTCCTCCTGCCTTCATAAGTTATCTCGCCTCTCTGATCTTTCCACGGAGGCTAGCTGCACTTATGTACGGTTCTCATTTCTTCCTACCTTTTTCTTAGTTACCGTTTTTCTGTGCAAGCTTCTTTTTATTGAAATTTTCTTTTCCGCGCAGATATGTAGGGTGCGGCTTGATCAGGTTAGCCAATGCCACGTCAACACAGATTTCGCGCACTCTTCCTGTGGCCGTCCGGCCAAACTCACGCCTTCCGGCAACCTGGAATGCAGCTTCTGCCAGTGCAGTTGTGATTCGGAGGTGGTGCGAACCTTGTTCCTGAAGATTCCTGTTGCTGATGAAACAGCCAAGATATTTGGGTGGTGCAGCGGCCCGACGGCGGCTGAGATGCTTCAAATATCCCCTGACGAGTTCTTTGAGCTCCCCGAGGTACGCAGTAGTTCTTAATTTTCCGTAGTGAATGATTAAAGAGATTCTATTTCGTCAGAAAGAGAGGATCGATCAATCAATGCATCTTTAAAACTCGAGCGTCAACTTGAACTTGAATAGTTAACGAGATGTTAAGAGTTGGTTTTGTGAATGAATGGACTGCTACTAAAGAGTTGGTTTTGTGAATGAATGGACTGCTACTAAAGATAGAACGAAAGAAGGAACTAGGTAATCCACCATAAGTGAAGAAGCGAACTAGTAAGGAGAATCATTGATAGAATAGGACACATGTTAATAGAAGGATCCTGGAAAGAATGGAAAATGGATGGAGTACTGCTAAGGTTGTTAGTGCATTGTCTTGTAAATAAAATGTTTCTGCTGGCGGGTAGGAAACCGAGATAGATCATTGAATGTCAATGTTTTCATTTGGTCGTTTCTAGTGCCCATCTTTTGGGTGAGCCGGTACGTAGGTTAGGAAAGCTGATACCTGTCCTGCGACTCAAGCTGCATGATTTGGCATAGACACTTGTGTTGAATATGTTTTTTTTGTTTTGTTTTTTGTTTTAAGTTTGATATTTGGGAAGTTGACATTTAAGGAGTTTCAAAGAGATTCTAATCAAGTTCTCGATTTTGTTATCAGGACGAGCAATTTATGTATCCGTCATCTTTAGAGAACGAATGCTTTGTAGTAGCATTGGTGAATTCCAAGCAGCCAGGGTATGGGCGGGGTCATTGCATCGATCTGGAGGACGATGCAGTTTCGTGGGAGATCACCCGTGCCCAGAATGTGAACAATGTTGGATAAAGCGGTAAAATAAGTTAAACGGTTGCTAGAGGGTGAGAAAATTGGCGGTAGTATTGTCAAATGTCAAGTCATGATTCTAAATCTGTTTCTTTTCAGCAGCTGAAGGTCAAACGAAAGAGGAAGGGGATGTCCATTTTGCAGAACCATAAGGCATTATTTGCCGAGTGACGAGCTGGGTTCATTAGGTATCCGTTGCCTGTAGTTGGCCCAGAAATCTGGTGAGAAGTGAGAACGTAGTGGGGCAAGAAAAAGTAGAGAAGAATGTGCCCGTTTTCCCGTGTTCCGCCTTCAGGCTCGTTTAGGATCTGTCTTCTGACGTGGATTCAATCCGTTTTTAATTCATTTTATAGTTTTCACTTGCCTTTTAAACTGACTCAACTTTGTTTTAGTAAACTACTTGATTTCAAATGAAGTGTTGAACTTTTAATAACAATTTCAAAGATTAGGCTATTCTTGTTCTTACTAAGGTTTTATACATTTCTTACCCTGAACCTTCAAAATGAAAACCATTTCTGCAAATCGGTCCTGTAACAAAGCACATCTACAATTAGAGGTGGCAATTGGATCGGATTCGTGGATTGGATTCATGGATTCATGGATCAAATGGATTGGTGGATTCATGGATTAGATCAAATGGATTGGTGGATTGATCCATGAATTCAAATGACATCCAAAGCTTGGACCAAAATGTAAATTTTGGAAAGTTTAGGTACTAAAATGCCCTAATGAAAAATTTAGGTACCAAAATGTAATTTTCCAATGATTTTTTTCATATAAAAATATAAATTTTAGGTACCAAAATGTAAAATATAAAAAATATAGGTACCAAATCATAATTTGCCATTTGGATCCATGGATTGATCCATGAATCCACCAATTCAATTGAATTTGGATCAAATGAATTGGATTTAAATGGATTGGATTAAGTGGATAATTTGGTGAATGGATTGAATTCGATTCATGGATTTGGATCCTAATTGCCACCTCTATCTACAATCCTAGAGCATAATCGAACTATAACTTATCATTCACATTGAAAAACTAGTACAAAAGTATTTTTCAATATGTTATCTCCAAATAGTTCTATTTATGAAACACAAATGGTGAGCATCGTAACAGTAAGTAGAATCGAACCACTAAACCATAGTCCAACTAATTTCAATCTATCTTAATCCTTAGTTCTAATTTTTTCAATGAAACCAAATATTCTGCCAAAGTCAGATTTAGATCAAATTCCATTTAACCGACCAGAAGTCCAGAACCCAGCCCAGAGAACAACTTTACGTGTGGCCCAATATCAACAATTATATTTCGCGCCAGACAAACGCAACGATTATCCATGGAAAAATGGAAAAAACCCTAAACTCCCTAACCTGTTCCAACTTCCAAAGTAGCCGGTTAGTACAACAGGTGGTCAAGCTTTCCAAGCCCAGGTGACAACAGGCTTACCTCAATCACTTCGCTTGCTGGTGCTACTGCCGGAGTTTTGCTCGGATAGAGCCTTGAGAACGGTAACCAGCGCCCGCAGACGATCCCGTATGTTCAACCCATACAATGCTTCCACAAGCGACTCTTGGAACTCAAAACCACCGTCCGAAACAGGATACTGTGATTTCCATGGCAAAAAGCAAGCGGGTTACGTTGTATTAATTCAATGCAATGTAATTTTCATGTTGTATCAATGCTTAATTCACAATGTTGAAAGTTTCTTAGATAATTATTGTATATTAAACATATTGCAAGTGAATATGATTATAGTTTTTTAAGGAGAGGCTGCAATTTTAGTTTATTCTACCAAATTCAATCAGTAAGTCTACTAAAAAACTAAATTAATCTAATTCATTTAATCCAAATCCAATAAATTGATGGATTGAATTAATAGATTGTTGTAACAGTTTAATACCTATATATTTTACATTTTACAAATTTGATACCTAAACTATGATTGTTAAATAAAATATATAGTGCGGAGTTGAATAATAGTATCCAAAATTTTCTAATGACATTTTCGTACTGAAACTTTTCAAAATAATTATAATAATCCTAAAGTTAGATACCACTTAGATTCATGAATCCAATCGATTTGCCAACCTCTATTCTTAACCATCGTAAGTTGTTTGAAATACATATTGAATAGATCCTACATAAGTATTGATTTATAAAATCAATTCAGTCTTGAAATTTATTAGAATATTTATCCCTTTTAAAATGATTTCATAACATTTATCAATTTCATATCTAGATAAGAAAATATCACATCACGTCAAGTTTCCTAGTTAATTACTTAGTATCTATTTTTTCCCCCTTAAATCAATAGCCAACTAATAACTAGACGCTCTCCGAACCTCATGAAGCACCCTCTTCTGCTTTTGCAACGTTCACCAATTCACTATTCTTTCTCCTTCCTCGTGAACTTTTCGATCCTAGAATAAACGAATTACTCAAAGAAAACTCTCTCTCGCACACATACATAACCTTGAGCTTAACACGTGGTTGAAGTATTGTTACCTGAATTGGCTTGGGTATCTTGGTTTTAACGTAGGGCCACCACCTGTCCTCAACTACCGACTTCACTAGGCAGCAGGCTCGCAACCCCTCGATGCCGGCAAATCGTCCGAATCCACTGTCTTTAACGCCGCCGAACGGCAAGGACTGAAACAACGGCAATGCATCAGTCCGCAGCAATATAACAACCCATCTTAGTAATCCAAGGCATTTTAGGAGCTTGTGCAAAATCAAGTGAACAAGGCGAGAGAATATTGCCTGGCACATGTAGGAGGAGGCGAAATCATTGACAGCGGCGATTCCAGTGTGTATCTGTGAAGCTATCTCCCTGGCCCGTCTCTGACTGCCGGAGAACACACCGCAACCGAGCCCGTATCTCGAGTCGTTCGCAAGCTTGATCGCCTCTTCGTCGGTGCTGAACTTCATGATGGGCAGGATTGGTCCAAACGCCTGCGCCAAAATATAGAGTCACGTCTGAAACTGCATTTGACAAGTGCAGCCGAGCTGTGGAAGCAGAATTGCAGAGTTTTTTTACCCAAACCAGAGAACCCGTCCTAAACCGGAACCGACCCGATCCATTAAAACTAACCAGCCAGCTATCAAACCTACTGACCCACTGTCCATGCTCGTTACCCAACCCAACTGTCCATGATTACCAAACCTACTGACCCACTACTGATTATGAATCAAGCTGACCCGTTTGCCACCTCAACGTGGAAGGAAAAAGATGGGATGATATTTGGGAGGGTAAATCATACCTCCTCTTGCATTATCTTCATGGTATGGTTGACATTTACGATCACCGTCGGGGGAAAGAACTGATCGACGGCACCTTCACTAAGGTGACCGAAACTTCCTCTAGCAACAATTTCTGCTCCTTTTTCCAGAGCATCATTTACGAGGTTCTGAAGCCTCTCAGACTGCTCTTGCATGCATAACGCTCCCATGTCGTACCTTCCGGTAAGTGGCGGACCCTTCAACAATGGTAGGAAGTAGATTTAGAGAGACGATTAAAGAATCGGAAAATGTTGTGTGATATGTTTTGGCCTTTTGGGAAATATCAAGAGATTAGTACTTACGGCTGAAACAGATTTTACAATCTGGGAAACTTCGCTGACAAATGAAGCGTATACGTCTCTGTGAACGTAAAACCTCTCGGCCCCAGCACAGTTCTGTCCAGATGATTGGAGGGCGGTCCTAACAGCCACTTGTGCGACCTATAATTAGAGGAAGAGGGATGATAATGAATTTACTCACAACTTTGTGGAAGATATGGAAACATAAGAGGAGGAGACTTACATGAGGCACATCTACATCCTCACAGACAATGAATGCATCCTTTCCTCCGAGCTCAAGTGTAACTGGGACGAGATTATCCGCGGCATTTCTCATTATCTGCAATCATATGGTCAATACACCAGCTGTAAGCTAAGTTGAGGCCGTGAAACCCACAAAAGGTTGCAAAGACTATGAAGAGGAATTATAAAAGTTATGTTGTTAATCGCGCAAGGCCAACTAAAGCAGCTAGTTAGAAATAAACTCTAAATATGTAATTAGCTCATCGCTAAAATATAATTTTAAAAGTCTTTCCTCGCACATTACACTACTTGGAAGTTCTCTTTAATGCCCGATAGCACCAAATAAGCAAGTCTTCTAGGAATGTTTTACATGGTAATTTCTAGGATTTTCTTAGTATGCAATTGATTTTGGAGGTTTTTCGATCTTGCCACATTCACATCCTTGAATACAAGGAGAGCAGGTAAGCAAACGGGACAGGAATATTCAGCTGGTGAAATGACAGGTGCTTGGTAATCGTTTTTAATATGGTTATGAATCAGCAAAAAGGGAAACTTACCTTCTTACCAACACCAGGAGATCCAACAAATATGACTTTATCAACTGAAGACACCAATGCTTCTCCTGTTTCAGCAAACCTACAGACCAGATTGAGCAAACCGCTTCTTAAACATGAATACGTTATTAATAATTTAAACGAGTGGCATGAGCAGAAAGCAAGTAATATACCCTGTTATTACATCAACCAGATTATCAGGAGCACCAACAGCAGCAAGAGCTGCTTGGATTATCCTGAAGTAGAAACAGCCTGACCAGCTTGCATGTTCTGATACCTATATTTCCAAGCAAATAATCAACTGAGATTTAACAGCGAAGAAGAATAACAATGTTGTGTTTTGTAGCACAAATGTGAATTAAAAGAGAAAATCCAACACGGAAATAACATCACCTTAATCACAATGCCATTGCCTGAAAAGACTGCTGCCAGCATTGGATTGAAGACATTGTGGAAGGGGTAGTTCCAGGAAACAATGGCACCAATAACACCGAGGGGATGGAACTCAACCTTAGCTTTTTTGTGAATCATTGATCTCCCAGATGATCTGTGTTTAAAAATAGTTCAGACAGCAGGAAACCCAGTATTTACAGCAACCTTAGGATAGGCATCTTTTAACAAATAGAAGAGGACATGGAGGAGTATGTCTTAAGAACCTGTATTCAGGCTTTAGCCACCGCTCACCCTCTGAGAGTAGCCAAGTAATCTTCTCACATGTGGTCATTATTTCTCCTAAAGATGCATCAACCATTGTCTTTCCAGTATCACGAGACGAAACTCTGCCCAAAATAAGATAAATCACAATCCAGACTAATATATAGACAAGGCTAAAGATAATACAATGGTAAATCACATAGTTCATTGGAGTAAACTACTAGCTGAGAACATACGCAGCCCCATCCTGGTGTTCAATCATCTTCTTAAATCTCATGGCAGCTTTTCTTTTACAAACAAAACCACACATACATATCATCTACATCCTATCTATCATAGCAGTCCTATACTTTGTTTCAGCATAAAGTTGATCACAGATGACTTTGCATAAAAAAGCCATGGTCAATGGAGATAAAGGTCAAACTGAGAGGATTCTTACTCGCAAATGAGCTGTTGGTGTTCGATAATGTATTTCAGAAGAATCCTCAGAAACTGGCGTCGCTGCTTGAAGCTGCTCTTTGCCCACACTGTCTGAGCCTTCTTAGCCAGAGCAACTCGTTCCTCGACCTTGAAACAGATAGCAAAGCAATCAGCTGAATTTAGAGAACCAAAACAGGAAGTTTCCAAGTCCTGATCACTCGCTCCAACCAGTCCTTTACCTCAGAAGGCGACAACGCAGGGAAGTATCCCAAGTATTTCATGGTAGCAGGTTCATAGCACTGAACTTTCTTTTCCGACTGCTGCGTCCTTCCTCTCGGCGGTATCTGAAGCATATACCACACCGCAACCATCAAAATCACTGAGTACACTAGTTAACGAACGCAAGCTTCAATCTACAGCTACCGAATATAGCAAACTGGAATCATTAATCAAAACCGAATAACGAGCTCATGAACGCTCGACTCCAAAAATTCCAGCCGTTCTAATCAATTTCGCTCAAGATAAAAACAAACTCTGCTTCAATCTATACCTAAAGCAAATACCACAAGACAATCAAAATCAATGAGGAACGAGTTAAAGAGCGGGAAGCATCAATCAATAACTACGGCACTAGAACTTCAATAATTTTAGCTCAGTCTACTCCATGAACGAGCTAAGCGTTGAATTCAAGTCGACGTACATCTACACAAAAGCACGCAATCTGGAGAATCCGGAACCAGAGATTCTCGCTAGATCTCCATCAGTTCTCCACGGAACAGTTTGAAATCGCCGCCAAGAAATGAATCGAAATCATCTATAACTACGGCACTAAAACTTCAAAATCATTTTAGCTCAGTCTACTCCATGAACGAGATAACCGTTGAATTCAAGTCCGCGTACATCTACAGAGAAGCACGCAATCTAGAGGATCCGAAACCATAGAATCTCGCTAGATCTCTGGCAATTCTCCACGGGACAGTTCGAAATCTCCGCCGAGAAATGAATCGAAATCGTCTAAATCAGGTAAGCGCAAGTAAAGAAACTACGAAGTGCAGAACGAAGAACAGAATCCAAGGAGAACTTACGTAAATGAAGCTGTTCTCCTGCGCCTGATTCCCTTCCATAACTGAACAGCAGAGACAAACGCCATAGCTCGAGTCAACAACACGGTAGAGAGGACTGATATTCTCGCTCTTTCAAGCAGAAATTCGGAAAATGCTAGAACTCGGAACTAGGCTAATGTCGACGAATCACGAAATGCATTACCGTCGGAGACGTCGACGTCGATCGAAGGCACATTGACGGGGATGAGCATGAACAAGAAGCGACAGAGGCCGTAAGCGAGAGCTAGTACAATCAACGGCCACCAGAACGCCATTGCTAACAGTTCGCGCGCGCTAGGGTTTTGAAGGACTGAAGAACATGGAAGACGGAGATCGGAGAGAGCAGTTATGGAGGGGGGAAATGCTTTGGCGTGATGATTCCGAGTGACGGGTGAGAGGTTTTTGGATTTTTATACTTTGGAATCGAGCCACACGGGAGACGGGGAGAGTGAGGGAAGAAGGGACAGAGGTGGGGGACTAGGGACTATTAAAATGAGTGACGACTGGAAGAAAGAGAGAGAGAGAGAGAGAGAAAAAAAAAAAAGCGGTAAATTACAATTTGGTACGCTCCTCGAACTTGGATCGCTATTCCGCCTTTTGGTTTGGCCCCCTTGGGCTCTTGCGTGAAACCTGATAAGTTGCCGCCTTGCCGGTTACCAGCGGTGTAATAGGGTTTAAAATGAGGGTTTTATCATTTAAAAATGGAAGGACTTATCAAGAATTTGAGATATTAAGGATATGTAATAATTATTTATTTATTGACATGTTTTACAATACTATCTCATTTATAAAAAAAGACAAAATACAGCTGTATATCCAAAACTGATCTATCAGGTTTGTGACAAATATATCGACAACTATCGAAATACACGAAATATCCATTTCCGTCCACTCCGTTAACTCCGTCAGTTAACTTAATGACTGGACAGACGATGGATACTTAGTTGGCGTGATTCTGACCCCACTAAATGACGTGGATTAAAAGAGAAAAAAATAGGCAAAATACAGTTGTATATCCACAACTATAAGGTTTGTGACAAGAGCACTTCTACTATGCTATATAGCATTGGTGCTTTAATGTACAACTCAAAGTTGTACCATAACACTAAATGTATAAGTTTAGGTTGTACCATAAAGCAATTTGTATCATTATGTTATGGTACAACTTTACAACTTGAAGTTGTACCATCACATAAAGGTACAAGTTCAAGTTGTACCATAAAAGAATTTGTGCAAAAAGTATAGGTACAATCTAAAGTTGTACCATAACGTAAATGTACAATTTTAAGTTGTACCATAAAGGCAAAAACCTATAGCACCAATACTATATAGCATTGTAAAATTTCTCTTGTGACAAATATATCCACAACTATCGAAATACACGGAATATCCAAAAATCGAAAGATTGTGTGACAAATCTATCCACTTTCATTTGAAACTATAACGACGTGTCAGACGACGTTAAATTGACTAATGGAATGCTGAATCGATGTCATCTCGCCTGCCACATAAGCCGAAAAGCAACCAAACTTTACACCGTTATCTATTAGACCTCGCTGCTGCAGTCTTCTCTATTGGCGAATTGGTTAGATTCAAGCTTTTTTTTATTTGAGATTTAAGCTTGTTATCACTATGACGCTGACTACATGGAAGCCGTCGAGTAAAAGGGAGGCAATGGTTGGGGATTGTGGTTGGAATCGAAATCTGGGCTTGAGGTAGGTTATTTGGTGGTGGAGGCGTTGATCGGAGGAGGATCAATGGTTATCGGGCGTGTTTCTGGGTTGGATTTTAGTCTCGCCGTCTGTAGTTTTTAGGGTTTTTAATTTTTTCTCTCTTTTAATCCACGTCATTCAGTGGCGTCAGAAACACGCCAACTAAGCATCCACCGTCTGTTCATCAAGTTAACTGACGGAGTTAACGAAGTGGACGGAAATGGATATTTCGTGTAATTCGATAGTTGTGGATATATTTGTCACAAACCTGATAGTGGTGGATATATTTGTCACAAACCTGATAGTTGTGGATATATGACTGTATTTTGCCTTTATTCAACTAGCCTATTTGGCATCTACGTGTAAAGTTTGCTTGCTTTTTGGCTTATGTGGCAGGTGAGATGGCATCGATTCAGCATTCTGTTAGTCAATTTAACGCCGTCTAACACGCCGTTATAGTTTCAGACGAAAAGTGGATAGATTTGTCACACAACCTTCTGATTTTTTGGATATTTTGTGTATTTCGATAGTTGTGGATATATTTGTCACAAACCTGATAGATGTGGATATACAACTGTATTTTGCCTAAAAAAAATCATACTATCATTTTGTATTTGTTTATCAGGTTTATGGTATGTACACAAAACAAGGACAATACGTACTAATACGTATAATGGTATCACAATTCACAAGGACAATAATACTAAACAGAAAAATTGCGTTTAACATTTAACGTAACATATATTTGGTCCCTAAAAAAATTACAAACAAAAACGATGAATTTTCCTTAAATCCATGATGGGATGGAAATCCATCATCCAAATCCACGAAGCAAATTAACCAAAATTGAAGTGAAATAAAATAATGAAAAGACGGAACTTTATATAATCACAAATTCTTACCTATTTGTGACTTTTACTAAACTTGCAGCCCGAACAAATGCAATTAATATTAGTATGTTACTACTACTACTACAGATATATAAATTTATAGTTCTTGTAGTTTAGGGAACTTACTAAAAAATAAATTTACAGGGATACTCAAGAAAATCTACAAATGTGTTACATTATTATATGAAGCTCTATTATATTTGTAGAAGTTTATATTGATGATTAATATTTTTTGTATATGAGACTCTCATAATTAATAAGTGAGAAATATTCAAACTAACAAATTATTCAATCATTTGAAAAGTGAAAAGTGAAGTACAACAATCACAAGTTTGAGGAAGAAGAAATTATCCCCGGGCGCTGTCATGGATTGAATCTTATCTCGCGGCTTAAGATCCTTTGCACAGATCTTCATCTTCTGGCGCGCCGCAAAGTGCTCCCAGATAATCCAACAATGGAGTCCGCCCCCAAATGGCGTCTTCAAGCTCAATTCATATGCAGGAGTTTTTCAAAATGGTGGAATGGGTTTCGGATGTGTATTGAGAGACTAGAGAGGAGGTTTTGTTGGGGCTACCCTGAAGAAAGAAAAGGGATCTTGCCGACCGATTGAGGCCGAGGCTAGGGCGTTGGTGATGGGGTTGGTTGAAGCAAATCGAAGAAATCAGAGCCCCTTAATTGTTGAATCTGATTGTCAATCGCTAATCTACAAGCTGAAGAAGAAGGAAGTGAATTTTACGGAGTTGGGTAACTGGTGCGATGAAATTCTGAGGTTGGCAAAGGTGAACGAAGCCATTTCTGGTTCTCAGGTAGTTTGGGTGTTTGCTGGAAGAAAGAAGAATAAGGTTGCTCACTGGCTGGCTCATTCGGGGTCGTGTTGGCATCGTCAAGTGGTGTGGACCGAAAATCCTCCCCTGTCTTTACTAGCTTTACTAGAAGAAGATTTGGGTCGTGGCCCATGTAATAGCTCTTACAGCTCTTTGAATCGAATACAGGTTCCCATAATAAAAAAAAAACTGATTTTTGTGCATGGGGAAAAGGATGCACAACTCAAATGGTTTGTCAAAGTCACACTTCATATGTAATCTCATCCTTTATTAACCAAACCTAATTATCAAACAAGTTTATAAACTTATCAAACCAAATCAATTATTCAAAATAATTAAATCTAATAACTATCTATTAAAATGATTACTACAAAAACCAATCCGTTTTAACACCGATACCAACCTCCTTCAAATCGAGCCACAGATGACCTTTGCTTGCTCCCCACCACGCATCCCCGAAAAATTTCCCACGAAAAAAATCATTACATCAAAGGAAAACCAACACACACAAGGAAAAAAGAGCACTCTGCTAAAAGTTGAACAAATTTAATCTGAGAAAGAGAAAAACGAATCGTCAATCGAGCTCGAGGAACTAAAGAAGTAAGGGGAAAAAAGGAAATTAAAAGCAATGGGAGACAGCGGTAGAAGGATCGGCGTGGCGGTGGATTTCTCGCCATGCAGCGTCAAGGCTCTGAGATGGGCGATCGACAACCTCGCCCGCGACGGCGACCACCTCATCGTCGTCCACACCCGCCCCGCCGAATACCACGAATCCGGCGAGATGCTGTTCTTTGAAACCACCGGCTCCCGTAAATTAATTTCTCACATCTCCCAAAATTTAATTTCCTGCTTTTTTCTCTCTTTGATCTCATCTCATTTTCGTCTCTTCCTCGGGCAGCTTTGATTCCGCTGGTCGAGGTCTCCGATCCGGCGACGATGAGCAAGTACGGTGTCAAGTCTGATCCGGTGACTCTCGACGTCCTCAACACTGCTGCCAAACAGAAGAAGGTGAGAAACTTTCCCCCCATTTCTTTACCCACGAACTGATCCGGATCCGGGTCGGGCTGGTAGCGCGATGATTCGGGTTTTTTGTTTTTGTTGGGGCAGTTAATTGTGGTGATGAAGATCTACTGGGGAGATCCGAGGGAGAAGATTTGTGAAGCCATCGATCGCATTCCTCTCAGTTCCCTTGTTATCGGCAATAGAGGCTTCGGCAAGCTCAAGAGGTAAGAACCGAAAACAATCTCTCCCACCTTTTCATTTCTTGCTCTGTTTGGCAACAAGGGGGGTGCAAATTGCAGGAGGGTGCAAGTTGAGGGGTAAATTGCTGGGGGGTGCAAATTGCTGGGGGTGTAAGTGGAGGGGTAAATTGTTGTTTGGATGAAAAAGTAGGGGGTGCAAATAGAGTGAAAAGTAAGTAATTATATTATTTTAAAATAAATTTTAAAAATAGATTTTAAGATTACAAAATAGATTTTAAAATTTTAAAATATTATCATAAAATAATAAAATAAATATTACTATATAATAATAAATATACTTTACTAAAAATAGTTATTATATAATAATGCTCAAATAATAATTAATTATGACAATTGTATAATCATTGATCGAGCCATCTCAAAACTCGAAGCTCAACTTGTAACTGGTCATCCTATATAGGGTTTTCGTGTCTAGTTTAATCTTAAATTGTCAAACTTAGTCAAACACGTTCGAATTTGTAAGTTTTAACTATTTAGTCAAATAAACTGAGTTAACCAAACAATTTCTCTCTATCTTTTCCACAAACACCTCGTATCTCTAATTTTCAATGCAAATTCGATTCAACCAAGAGATCTAGATTTGACTTGACGAATAAACTTGTTTCTAGAGTGAAATGGTCAACCCCGAATAATGTTTACATTAATGATATTTATAAAAAATAGAAATTGATAATATTAATTATTATATAATTATATATAACACAATTAGAAAAACAAAATTCCATAATTCCCCCCTCCCCCTCTCTTCCTTCCTTCCCTTGCACCCCAATTTGGGGGTAAGCCGAAACAGTAAATTTGCACTCCCGTTTTGCACCCCCCTACTGTTCCAAATTAACCAAACAGGTGCAAATGTGTTGGAAACTGTATTTACCCCTCACATTTGCACCCTTCTCCCATTTACCCCTCTTCCCAAACAGAGTGTACTACATGTTCTTTCTGCCGATTTCCTTTTCACCTTTTGCGTCCGGGCTCTTGGCGAAAACAATTATTTTATTTACGTAAATTTGAGTCATTCACGTCATATTAAGATTGTTGATTATTCACGCAATAAATATTATTTAGTCACGTTAACTGAAGTTTATTCATATTTATTGTTATTTATTCATATCGTTGTAAAATCAAAATTTAAACTTTGAAATATATCAAAATAGATGTCATCATGTAGATTATGATCAATGCAACACATTTTTACAGATTAATTGAGAACCCAAATTTAATTCCATTAATATATACAATACAAATTATCAGGGAAAAAGTCTGAATTTCCATTTACGTGAATAACTTACACTCTTACATAAATAAGCATAATATTACGTGAATAAATTTCAAATGACGTGAATGAACACAAAAATGCGTAAATTATGCGGTGTTTTGTCTCCTACTTTTCCTTACCTTTTTACTGCGTTGATTTTCTTGTGCAGGGTGATAATGGGGAGCGTGAGCAACTACGTGGTGGAGAATGGGACTTGTCCAGTCACGGTGGTGAAGGCTGGAGACCATGAATGAAGCTTGGAATGAAGCTTGGCGTATGGATTTGTAGCTTTCTAGCTAGTAAATTAATAAGCCAGCGAGTGTATGTTTTCCCTCCTTCTTGTCCTAGTTTAATCCTGTTATTATATAAAAGCTTATTGACTTGTGTCTATGCTTTGTAAGGGAAAGAGAGAGATTGGAGTTTTGGCGGAAAATGATGCCTGTGATCTTTTGAGTGATGATATATTGATATTTTCCCCCAAAAGCTCACTTGCATTATCAAGAAATTATAGATAACAAAATCTGTACAACAACTCAAAAACCACCCAAAAGAAACCATTGTCTAAAATTAAAAGAAGCAACATTTATAGGACACAAAGAAAGGGTCTTCTTAGCCACCATATGGGCCACCCGATTGTTCTCCCTGCCAACGAAGCCAATGCTAAACGACTGGTACAGCTGTCGCTGATGCTCTATCTCCTCCAAAATCCTTCCCCCGAGCATATGACAAGAATCCCGTCGCTGAATCTTATTGATGACATCCTCCGCATCTCCCAAGAACGTTACTTCAGTGAGGCCCCTCGGCCCCCATTCATACTACTAGACAAATGTTCTCGTACCTGTTCATTATACTGTCGCAGGAGCACCGTACCCTCGTACTGAACATGATCGAACAATGCCCAGTTCCTCGACTTCCAAATCCGCCACAACAAGCACACAAACCTACAGATCCTTTCATCATTATTGTCCTGCGCTATGAAGTCCCAAAAGAAAATGCAAAATTAATCTTGGACCTGTTCTGCTGAGTAATTCCCAGCCCCGAACCCTCCCAGAGCGCCACTGCCACCCTACACTCGAGTAGGGGTGGGCAACGAGAAACGGGTATTTGGGTATATTCGTACCCGTCCCGTTTTTTAAGGATTACGGGTACCCATATTACCCGTAATATTATAAACGGATGGGACTTGGAATTGTACATTCCTAATATGGGTACCCACGGGTTACCCGCAAATACCCGTTTGGGTAATATGGGTACCCGTTATACCCATTCAATATGGGACCCACCGTCATTTCTCTGCTAATACATGTTTATGTAGTGGGTTTGGGATGTAATTGTCTTTAGCTAAAACGTCATCTGGTTTTCGGGACATGTTTTGAAATGAATGCTTGTGTATATAGAGATTGAATTTATGTTTTTATCATATCGTGTTCTTATTATTCCCCGCGAGAGCATGTTATTGTAAAGATATGTAATGTGATGTCATTTAAACTTTGGGTATTTATGGGTAGTATGGGTACCCGTTATCCGTCCCGTACGGGTAATGGGTACCCGTTTCCCATATGGGTTTGAGATATGGGATGGACTTTAGTCTCCAAATGGGACTGGGTACCCGTTTAAAACGGGACGTGTATCCCGTCCCGTCCCGTTGCCCACCCCTACACTCGAGGAAAAGATGCTCTAGCGTCTCCAAAGGCGCCCAACAGACTGGACACCGCGGCAGACACTCCCCACCCTTTTGAGTGATGATCTGATCAATTTCATTTGGGTAAATACAATATATTAGTCACAATTATTAAGCATCGGAGAATTATAACCACAACTATCAAAATATAAATTATTAGTCAAACGTTAATTCTCTGTTAACAATTCCGTTAGTAATGCTAATTAAGTTTTACGATCCTGAGCTGACTCCCACGTGGCAGTCACCATATCATATTTTTGAATTTTAATTTTATAAAATAAATTATAAATAATTAAGAAAAGAACGGAAAGGAAAAATTCCAAAAATTGAAAGAATAAATCGGTGGTGCTCCCTCTTCTTCTTCCTCCACCCAGATCTACAAGCGCTTAGTCCTCCCTCTTTTTCTTCCTCATTTTTCCTCATCGACACTACTTCGTCTTCCCGCCCCCTCCGCCAACGCTTAGTCCTCCCAAACCCCCTATGCCAATAATTCCAAACCCAATTCCAAACCCAGCTTACCACCGCCTCCATCCGCCGCGCATAGGTTTCGAGGGATGAAATGTTGGCGACAATTGCGTCCGTCACTGTGGCGAACAGGGGAAGGAAGAACCCAGATCCCCAAATCGTCTTTCGAATCAAGTGAGTCCACTGGGTTGAGGCTTTTGAGTCTTCTCCTCCAATGAATATCAAACCGTTGCAATCGGCTTCTGGGGACGGCTTGCGATGCATAATTGAGAAGCAGCAACGACTATTTCTCTCTTCTCCGCTTCAATCACCATCGTTGGCGAGATTCAGTGAGAGCGGCCCCCGTGAGGTTCAAGTTCCGCCACGGTTGCTGGGGCTGCGAAAAGGGGAGGATCCAGAGAGGGCCAGAGCTTGAAGACGTGGATATGGAAAGTCGATATGGATCCGGAGCTTGAGGGTCAATGCTTGGGTGCAGATCGATACGCAGCTGGTCTGGGTCCATGTTGGGACTTGGCGGCGGTGGAGGAATCGTAAGAAGAGGTCTCTAGTGACGTAGGAGGGTCTTCATGGTTCGACTTGAGAACGACGAAGGATTCCCCCCCCCCTTTCGTGGCTTTGCAGAAGAAGAAGAGGAAGGGGAGAAGAAGATGAGGGGAAAGCATGGAAGAAGAACGACGACCCTCCAATTTATGTTTTTGTTTTTTTATTTTAAAATTATTAATCAAAAGTTATATGGAAGGTGATGTGGCCGCTGACGTGGCAGTCTCCGTTACAAAACTAATGACAGTAACATATTGTTAACCATATTTTGATTTGCTACAATAATTGTGACTAAAAATTTGCATTTTGATAGTTGTGGTTATAATTCCCTGCTGCTTAATAGTTTTAGAGTTTTTAGCTAATATATTATATTACCCATTTATTTTAACTCTCTGAGTTGCTTTTTTTTTTGTAGAAAGACAGACACCAATGGCGTCTTAGGATGCACAAGAAATTAAACGTTCTTGGGATATACCCATGACATCAAAATTGATCCAGTGACAAAGGCCTGGATCGTACACATCGATAGGATGTGTACCAAAATGAAGACTATGGCCTCTATTGGCTAAAAAATCTGCAGCACAGTTACATTCTCTAAAAACATGCTCAATCCGAACTTCCCAACTTAGGGAGAGAAGCCTCTTGAACTCCAGCGCAAGGGTCCCATGTCTATGATCGTTATCATCCCTTTGTTTGATGATGCTGATAGCAGTGGTAGAGTCCATACACAACTTAATTTTCCTATACCCTTTCCTCCATGCTGATGCAAGTCCTGTTGCAACAACTTTCAATTCTGCCCTTGTAATAGTGCAGTTTCCAAGATTCATTGAGAAGGCCTCATGGCAGCGGCCGAGGTGGTCTCGCAGGAGTCCTCCCCCAGCAGCTTTTCCTTCTTCAGCAATCACAGATCCGTCTTTGTTAAGCATCATCCATCCTTCCTCTGGTGGTATCCAAGCAAGATGTCTCCTCTCCTTCTTGTTGATCCCCCCTGCCTTGATCATATCATTGTTCTTGGCTGCATTTCTCACAATATTAAAATAGGCAAGGATTCTGTGCAGCAGACTTTGTTCACAGTAATTCTTTCCATCAATGGCTTCTTCGTTGCGTTGTTTCCATAAGTGCCAGAGGATGATCCCAAAATCAGTCCCCTTCTCTTCATCCTTCAGGTTCTCAATAATCCATCTCTTGAAAGGGATGCTGTTGTCAAAAACAGTGACAGAATGTCTGAGTTTCCTCCAGACTTCTTCAGTTTTCTTGCATTGTCTAAGAATGTGCTCTGTCGTTTCCTGGCTGCTGCATCCTGGGTACTTGCAGCTTCCATCATCCGTCATTTGTCTTCGAGCTCTTTCTTGGTTGGTCAATAGTCTCTCATGGAATGTCAGCCAGAGGAAATGTCTGATTCTGTTTGGACCTTTTCACTTCCAGAGCTTCTTCCAATCTTCCTCTTCAGTTGGCTCCAACTCCTCAGCAGCAAGCTTGTATGCTAACTTGAGTCTGAATCGGCCATCTGGTTCCACTCCCCACAGAGTTTTGTCATCACCTTGCCCTTCCTTTGGCGTTTCAGTACCTGCAATTAGAGACAAAACATTGTCAGGGAGTTTTCCATGCAAACGTTCCCAATTCCATTCTCCTAAAACAGTGACAAAGTTGCACACTGGTTCCTCCCTTTCATTATCCTCAATGTCAATGAGGAGATGGTCTTCAAGCACAAGGCCAGTGTCAATCCATGCCTGGCTCCAGAACTTGGTGGTTTTCCCATCTCTCAAGTTTGAAACAGTAGCAGAATCCATAATTGGCATAGCTCGAAGGATGCCTTTCCACAAAGGGGAGTGGTTGCTGGTTTTCATAGATGTGATGGCTCCATCTTTATGGTTAAAGTACTTTCCTTGGAAAACCTGCACCCACAAAGACTTTTCTTTTTTCAGTATCTGCCAAGATAGCTTAATGAGGAAAGCCAAATTAAGACTTCTGGCAGTCCTTAAGCCCAGTCCTCCTTGATCTTTGGGTTTACAAATTGTATTCCATGAGACCAAGTGAACTTTCTTTTTCCCATCTTGAGAACCCCACACAAAGCCTCTGATCTTTTTGTCAATTTCGTCACAAACTGTCAAAGGAAGAACAGAGGTTTGCATAGCATAAACTGGGATAGCATTCAGAACACCAGTTGCAAGGGTGACTCTGCCGGCAAGGGAGAGTGTTCTAGCCTTCCAAGCTGTGAGTTTCATGTCAATTCTTTCCAATATGTACTTATAGGTGCACCTTTTAATTCTACCGTGCAGGACTGGGACACCTAAATATTTGCCTAGGTCATGAGTGCTTTGTATCCCAAGTCTGTTACAAATGCAATCCCTATCAATTGTTTTAACATTCTTTGAGAAAAAGACTCGAGATTTATCTTTGCTGATTAGCTCCCCTGAAGCATTACAGAACCTCTCAATACAATCCATAACCACATCTGCTTGTCTAGTGTTAGCCTCAGCAAAAATAACAAGGTCATCAGCAAAGAATAGATAAGACATATCAGGTCCATCTTTAGAGAGTCGAACTGGTTTCCATTTTCCTTCCCTAACTTCTCTAGATATGCAATGTCCTAATCGTTCAATGCATAAAGTAAAAAGATAGGGTGATAGGGGGCATCCCTGTCTGAGGCCTCTGCTTGGTTTGAAGGCTTCAGTTTCTCCCCCGTTCCATAGTACTTGGAGTTCAGTGGTTGTCACACAGGCCATAATCATCCTGACTCCTTTTTCTGGGATTCCAGCAGCAGCGAGAGTTTCTTCAAGGAATCTCCAGTCTAGTCTGTCGTACGCCTTTGCCAAGTCGATCTTGAGGATCATGTCCCCTTTCTTTCCTTTCTTTCTAGCCATTGAGTGGACCGTTTCCTGCAATACAAGAATATTGTCAGTAATATTCCTGTTTGGTACAAAGCTGGATTGGTTGGCTTTGATTAGTGGTTCCATGAGGGGTTTAAGTCTCTTCGCCATCCACTTGGCCACCACTTTGTAGTTGACGTTGCATAGGCTTATTGGCCTGAACTGTGTCATATCACAAGGTGCTTCCACTTTGGGGGTGGCGTTGACATCTCTGATTCTTTCTGGGTTCGCGAAGCAGGAGACCACAAATCTGTAGAGGTCACCTCCCACCACATCCCAACACTTCTGGTAGAACAGCGCGTGGTATCCATCCTTTCCTGGCGCTTTGAGTCCCCCCATCTTTGACAGGACAGCTTGAATTTCCTGCAGCAGGGGGGGTCTCCCAAATCTGTTTATGGTGGCCTCATCCAGGGGAGGGAAGTCAGCAAGAACATCAAAGGTTCCTTCAACCTCTTCTCTGCTGAAGAGTTTAATATAGAAACCTCTTGCCATGGTTTGAAGGTGATCTGGATCCACAATCCACTGTCCTGTCTCATCTCTCAGTCCTTTGATTTTGTTCCTCTTCCTTCTCGTGAGTGTACTAGTGTGGAAGAAGTTGATATTCATGTCCCCCTGGTTCACCCACTTGGTTCTGGACTTTTGCATCCAGAGGAGCTCTTCTTGCCATAGTGTTTCCTCCAGCTCCTCACGAGTTCCCTAGTCTGCCTGGATCGAGGTCTCAGTTGGGTAGCTCTGGTTTCTCAATTCCAAAGCTTCGAGTTTGTTCTTGAGCTCCCTTATCCTTTTAAAGATGTTCCCAAAGGTGTTCTTGTTCCAGCTCTTCAGGGTCTCTGTGAGGTCGCGAAGAGACTGGAGGAACTCTTGATCCTTTCTCCATGACTCAGCAACAAGGGGAAGGAAATCTTCGTGGCCAAGCCATGCCGCAAGGAACTGAAATCTCCTTGCGAGTCTTGTCTTGTCTTTCAGTCCTGTACTGCAGATGAGTAGAGGTTTGTGGTCCAACCTGATTTTGGTGAGATGGTAGTTCGTTGTCTCGGGGAACTTGTGTTGCCATGCTACATTGCACAGTGCCCGATCCAATCTCTCCTTGATCCTATTCTTACTTGTGAACCAGGTGAAGCTCGGCCCAGTGAACCCCAAGTCCATCAATCCGCAATCTTCAATACAGCAGTTAAAAGCTCTCGTTTTGGCCGGATTGAATCTTGCCCCTCCTTTCTTTTCAGTGGACTTTGTGATTGAGTTAAAGTCACCAAAGAGGAGCCATGGTGCATCCATCCTCTCCTCAATCCTTCTGATGTCGTCCCAGAGCCCCGTTCTTTCAAACTCATTTGGGCAGGCGTAGACAGCAGTCAAGAAGCAATCTGTTGTCCCTGCCATTCTACAACTGATGTGGATGAACTGTCTCTGTATGTCCAGGGCCGTCAAACTGATGGTGTCCTTGTCATACAGGATCCAGATTCCCCCACTGAAGCCCACTGCATCAGAAACAATCCATGTGTCATATCCGAGTGTCTTAATAACATCAATAGCATCTTTTCCACTAATCCTAGGTTCAACAATACACACAATGTTTGGTTTATGAAGAACCTTAAAAAACTCAAAAGACGAATGAAACTTGGGGTGCTTAGCACCCCTGCAATTCCAGGAAAAGACCTTAATCATTTGGAGAATAGAAAAGGTACTTCCCTGCCATGACCCATTGGTCAAGGGAATCAGTTGGTGTCGACGGCCATTGCCGTCTCCTCCCCTCCCATAGCTGTCTTTATGTCAGGCAGCTTAGGTTGTTGGACATTTTCAGGTCCACTTCTCACATCTCCCTTCACATTCTTGGGCTCCTTGTCAACTATCATAGCTTTCTGGTCACTTCCCCTTCCAGCTGGTTTAGTTGATGTTGGCTCCTTAGTGACATCATTTTCCATCTTCGTCCTAGTAGTGTTGTTGTTGAAGTTTATCTTCCTCGGGTTCCTCATCCCTTTGTCAGGGTCTCTAGCACCTTTGGTTCTACCATCCTCATCCTCCTGTTTTAAACCAGGCTCAACAGGTCTACGGTTTGAGGTGGCAGGTGTTTTCCCACGCTTGGAGACATCTTTGTCGCTGTTTGGCAATGATGCTCGTTTGTTTGTGGCTTTCTCCCTTCCATTCGTGCCATTGGTTCCTTCCTGGCATTTCGTTTTAGGAACCTGCCCTGATGGTGACTTCTGATTCACGGCTGCAGTAGCAATGGTCATTTCACTGCTGCTCGTTTGAGATGTATTCTTCCCTCCCTTCTTCAAGGCTTCAGGGGATTCTTTCTGATTCTCCTTCTTGTGGGCAGTTCCTCCTTTTGTATTCTTTCGAAGGGTGGAGTATGAAGGGCTTCATGATATTTGCTTTGAATGTGGAAGATATGGCCATTTCCAAGACAAATGCCCCTCCCGGATTGCCCCTACTGATCAGCCTTCTTCTTCAATGGGGAACCAAATGGAAACACAACAGGAACATGGGAGGAGTCAAGAAATCCGACCTGAGCTTGTGGAGGATTTTGGTACCTGGATGGTTGCTTCGAGGACAACAAGAAGAAACAACCAGAGAAAGAAGACGGAGATTAAAGGAAACACAAAAAAGGCGGCAGCAAAGGAGAATCCACAAGGGAAAGGTTCTCGGTTTGAAGTGTTGGGAAATGAGGAAGGAACAGTGCAGATGGAGGAGGAAGAAGAAGCAGACAATGAGCCGATGGAGGTGGAACAAGCAACTGAAAAATCAACAAAGGAGGATGCACCTGAGAATCGAGCAGAAAATCTCAAGGAGAAAACAGAAAGTAGGAATAAAAATCACCAGAAGAACTCTCTGAGTTGCTGACAATATGTATATAGTCTTGTTTTTCTGATGGGTAGTTTATTAGTTTACTAGAGTCCACATATCCCATAGTAAAGCTCAATCGATCCAATCAAATGGAATGACAAAATACTCCTACTACGAAGAAGCTCATATCGTCTTGGACAGTTTAAAAGGGAGGGAGAAACCTTTTAGAGGTGCCACCAAATAATAAAGGTGTTTATGTTGATCTATGTCATTGGATTGCAATTTGAATCCCATTGGGACCATGATACACACATTTTCAGCAATTAAATTAAAATATAATGCAATTGTTTGAAATTTAATAAATATAATTTAGTGCGCACTCACTCACACTATATATATAATCGATAAATTTCATATTACACTTATTCGAGTGAGTAGTGGGTGAGTTGAGAGTCACCGGAATAACCAACAACCCACTTTTCCATGACAAAAAAGTGTTTTTTTATACTATCAAAGGACTCATCAGATTTCCTAACCATCCTCGCACTAACCATCGACTTCTAAAATAAAAAAACAATTTTTTTGGACTACTATTCGTTAATGTTTTATAATATTTACTAGATATTGAAATGCAAATTACAAACAATTAGTTGTATCATAGTCACAATAAACATTATATTTCTCACAAGTGCATGCCAACCTCTGTCAAAGAATTGAAATTTACATGCGTGACTCAGCGTGAGGATGGTCTCTAAGACCAACTTTAGTTGTGAGCTGGAATTCCAAAAAATTGAACTAGACCCACTTTAGTAAAGTTCCAAAAAGCCAAAAGTTTCAATTGATCCAAAAATTAGATCCAAATTTGACCCAGAAAAGGACAAAAAGTTTCAAAAGAAAGTATGTCCACATGTGCAAAAAGCAAACGGGCCCACCTACCAAAAAGAGTTTTAGTAATAATAAAAAAAGAAACAACTTTACCTTTTAGCACCCACAATCTCCTCCAACGGCTCTTTTGGTCTCAAACAAGAGACCGTCATTAATAAAGTCATATATACAAATAATTTTTTTATCAGAATTCAAAAAAATTTGTCGAAATGTTCGTCTTAATTAATTATTAGTATCTATATAAAATTAATGAACAAATTTTGTAATTAGAATGATGAAATATACACAAAACTGGATTATGAGTTAAAGCACAATCTGAAAATTTGGACTTTTGGAACACACTACTAATGCCAAAACACATTTTGAGGGGCTAGAATTTGAATTATAGCCTCAAATTTTGGACTTTTGGATCTAATCACTAAAGATGGTCTAAAGATATGTGAATAGTGACTATCTTTTCTCCGTCAAAAGTATTTCACTAAAAGTGTTCAATTGAAAATTTTGTATGATTAATAGTTAACCTTGCACATTACAAGTACCGGAAAAATCCACAGGAGGCAAAACGAGAGATATTTTAATTGCTATAATCCTCCTAATTGCAATGAAATTATTATAAATATTAGTCAAACCATCTAATGACTAGTAGGATAATCTCTTTGCGGTTTAAATCGTAACGCACCGATCCACCACTCATCTAATTCAATTTGAAAAAGAATATGAATGGATGACAAATTACAATGATATCAAACTCATTACTTAAAGATAAATTAATTTAAAATCAAAATCCATTCAATCCAACACCGTAAATGTACTAGGTACTCCCCTTTCCTAAAAAAATTAACAAATTACATTTCCATTGGGCTTTATCCTTTAAACAATTTTTTTCTTACAGTCTTTTCATTAAACAATAGAAGTATTTAACAGTACATGTTACACATTGAAATTGATGAATTTTGAGTTTATTAGTTACTTGAACAAGGCAATCCGAACTAGCCAAACATTATTTTGCGGGAAAGAAGAAGTCGAAATGGCAGCGAGCGAGAGAGGGAGCGCTTTTGGACGGGGGAAAGGAAGAATGGAGCAGATAAGAAAGAGGGGTTGGAGCAGCAGGTTGGGTTTCCGTTCCCAAAACACAGTGTATTCCAAACATGGCAAAACTCCATCGATATCCCTGCTAACCCTTCTCCAAGTTTCCGCTCTCAGAATTCCTCGCACCCATCTTCCCAAAATCTAGCTAACGGAACCGGCGAGCGAAAATCTCTCTCTCGCGCCTTCGCCCTCGCCCTCGCCCTCGTCACTCTCACAAGGTTCTCACTTTCTCATGCTCTCTCTCTCTCGTTTTGGGTCACAAAGCGTCTGTTCTAGGGTTTCTGGCGACCTCGACTTTCATTCTCATGGCGATTTTGAGTCTAGGAATCCTGCTCGACAACGTACATTTTCCCACTGCTGAATCTATCAGTCTTCATCCTTGTTTTGGCCCCCCGGTTGCGTTGTTTCGGCAGAATCAGTTCGCTGTGCCATGTAATTTAGGTTTTCTGTTTGATAACGTACAATTTCCCGCTGCTGAATCTGTCAGTCTGCATCCTTATTTTGTTCCCCCGGTTGCGTTGTTTCGGCAGAATCAGTTCGCTGTGCCATGTAATTTAGGTTTTCTGTTTGATAGCGTTTATTCATTCACTTTGTGGCAGTGATTCCCCAGCTCTTTGACTAGTGAATGCTTGAGCTCGTTCTTATTGTGCTTCACTTGTGCTTGAAAGGGCAGGGTTCCAGTGTTTAAAGGAAGTTGGATTAAATGGGGAGCCCTCCAGGGAATGGGATCGCCATTGCTGACCTTGGCTTCGTAGCAAGGAAGAAGAGGAGTTGTGGAACTCGTCGGCCTTGTTCTGAGCCGCAGAGAGCCCTAGGCACGTATGGGTTCTTTCCACCGGCCACTTCCACTCAGAATTTAGGTGCTGGTTATGGCGAGGAGAGTTCGCGTTTGAGCCAAAATACGGTTGGTGAGAAGAATGTTTTGAAGAAGCTCAAGCTGAAAGTTGGTGGTGTTACTCGTACCATACACACTAGCCATGCAGCTGGACATGACAATGGCGTTGGTGGGTCTTATGCATCTAAGCATACAGAAAAACAGCCTTTTCAGGTACGCGAAATGGAACTAATGAAAAAGCATTTGTCATGATGATGATGTTAGTGATCTTTAATGCGGTTTGAATTTGGCTGTTTTATTGGATGTGTTCAGAAATCTAACTTTGGAAAGCAGAAAGTCTTAAAAGGAAAGGAATCCAATGAGAATGAGTGTGAACCGACTCGTAAGAGTAAACGAGTTCCTAAGCGACGTAAGCTAGATCTCGGATTTGACGAAGATGCTGATTTTATGGACGAGGAGATCCGTTATCTAGGAAGGATCAATGCCACAAGGGTTTCTGCTGATTGTGAAGACTACAAGAGTGTTGAAACCGGAGTAGGAATTTTGGAAGTTACAGACATCGGGGGAGGGAAGAGGTCTGAAAAGCTTGTGGAAGATGATGGCTATATGGAAGAAGGAGCAGAAGAACTGGTATTGAATGATGAACCTGAACGTAAGATGAACAAGTCAGGTTTTGCAGAAGGAAAAAATGACAGAGTTCATGTGGTGAAACAAGATGTTTCATTGAGATCTGGTTCGGCATTCGTTGAATTCCCAGATGGTTTGCCAGATGCTCCAAAAAGTGAGTTGTGCCTGTCTTTACTTTCCTTGAGAAGGAAAGTTGCTTTCTTGTCATTCTGAAATTTATTCTCCGATTGTTAGAATCAAAGGCCAACTTCCCTGATGTGGAGAAGCAGTTGAAGAAAGCTGAGGCTGCGCAGAAGCGTAAATTGCACGCGGAGAAGCTTGCCAAGGAGGCTGAGGTTTGCCTCTTCTAGTTGCATTGATCCTGATTTCCAGTTAAATTATCATGCTAAGTTTCTTATGTTTGCGTAGGCTGAGGCTATCAGGAAGATTTTAGGCCAGGATTCTGCAAGGAAGAAGAAGGAAGAAAAGATGAAGAAACAGAGGGATGACATAGCTCAGGTGCTCCATAAATCCATGAGCAGCTCTTGGTTTTGATTTTACCTTGTGGCTCTAAGTCTTATCAAGCTAAAGTTGTGCTTGACTTTCAGGGAAAGGCTAGCAAAAGTGATGAACTCGGAGCAAATACAATTAGATGTGTTATTGGTCCAGAAGGCACTACAGTCACTTTCTCTAATGACGTGGGTTTGCCTCAGATCCTTAGATCAACCCCTCGCAGGTATAGAAGAAAGGCTTTCTATTCACTCTTTATGTCATTTGACTGCTGCGTGTCATGGTTTAATGTCTACTTGTGTTCTTGAATCGCAGCTATCCTCCTCCTAGAGAGAAATGTGCAGGTCCGAATTGCACGAATGCTTACAAGTATCGAGATTCTAAGTCGAAGCTTCCCTTGTGTAGTCTTCATTGTTACAAGGCAATACAAGAGAAGGTGCAGCCTCTACCAACTTGTTGATATAATAATAATAATTTTAATCTTAACAAGTTAGCTTAGTATTAAGTTGGATGATTGAGATGGATAGAAGCAGGAGGTTGAATGTAAAATTAGTTAACCTGGTGTAGAGCTACCAGTCGAGCTCAGAGATGGACGAGTTTTTGTGATGGTGTGAGGACCATGGAGTCCCAAAACCGAACTGGAGCTTGCACTCTAACCAAAGGAAGAAATTATTGGCATTAGGCCGTATGATCTTTTCCTGACTAAGCAGGTCAATTTTTTTGATGGCTATGATTATCTGCCAAGACTTTGTACTTGAACGATGTAAATTTGCCTTGAATGACTTCCATCTGATCGAGCTAACTAAACTGCCTTCGCTGCTTTTGATGAAGTTTCTATAGAGAAATTGGGACTCCTTTTGGTGTCTGGATTTGCAGGTTTGCTGCCTTTTAAGGTGTTTTTTCCCCAAAACTTTCAATACCTGTATTATATTATTTGTATTATCTGAGGTGGGTCCTCAAATCTCATATCTCACAATCACTCATTTTAAATTTCATCAAAAAAATGAGATTTTTTCTTTGAAATTGTGAGTTTTAATTTGTTCAGCTTTTAGCTTATAAAATGATTTTTTTTCTTTAAATTTTTTGGGGTTAATTGCATGGTTGGTCACTGACATTACAAAAAGCGTTCATGTTTGGTCACTAGAAAAATTTAAATCTAACTTTGGTCACTAACTTTACAAAAACGGTTCATTTATGGTCACTCTCCGTTAGCTGCCGTCCAACGCCGTTAACGGAGTCCGTTAAGTGATGACGTGGCTGACGGATTCGCCTAATCAGCACCTTTTGACCCCAAATTTGACTGACCCGACCCGCCACGTCAGTTAAACCCTCCATCTCAGCAAAACCTAACCAAACCTCTAACCAAATCAGACCACACCCGACCCGACCCAACCCACCAACAAAAATGACCCACCCGCCACTAATCAAAACCTAATTTCTAAAACCTACAGACATTCCCCTTCTCCTCTCCATCCCGCGCCGCCTTCATCTCTCCCCTGCGAATCTTCTTCTCCGATCGTTTCATCGGCGACGAAGGAGGAATCGTCAGTTAAATCCTCTCTCCGACAACGAATCTCTAAACAGGGGGAGAGGAGTGTGAAAGCTTTAATTAGGAGAGAGGAGAAGCCGGTGGTTGGTGGTGGGCGGCGACGGATTTCGAAACGGGGGCAAGGAGCGTATAAGACGAAGGGGAAGCTGTCAGGATTGCGTGAGCCGCCATGGCTGCCGCTGCAGCTGCTTGCATTTTCTTTTTCTGGAGAGAAGAGATAGAATGATAATGCGAATTGCGGTTCTAGTGGCTAACAGAACAGTGAGAGATGGTAGAAGATATATGAATATTTGGCAGGCAAGGGAGGGAGGAAGGAAAGGAAGTTTGCGCTTTGACCCGTAGGTCGAATCAGAAGTCATAGTCAAGAGACTGGGAATTGAAGAAGAGGAAGAAGAAAGACAAGTAGGAAACAAACGCGACCCAAATTTTTTTTGGCTTGCATTGTCGATGAACTCGGAGATCTCCTATGGATTCGCTTAATCCTCCAATCCTTCGGGTTCGCTCCCGCCCACCTGATCCTGTCCCTGTCCCGAACCCAATCTCCGGGATTTCCCGTGCACCGCCTCCTCAGCCCCTTTCTCCTTCGTCGCCGATGAAACGATCGGAGAAGAAGATTCGCAGGGGAGAGGTGAAGGCGGCGCGGGATGGAGAGGAGAAGGGGAATGTCTGTAGGTTTTAGAAATTAGGTTTTGATTAGTGGCGGGTGGGTCATTTTTGTTGGTGGGTTGGGTCGGGTCGGGGAGGTCTGATTTGGTTAGAGGTTTGGTTAGGTTTTGCTGAGATGGAGGGTTTAACTGACGTGGCGGGTCGGGTCAGTCAAATTTGGGGTCAAAAGGTGCTGATTAGGCGAATCCGTCAGCCACGTCATCACTTAACGGACTCCGTTAACGGCGTTGGACGGCAGCTAACGGAGAGTGACCATAAATGAACCGTTTTTGTAAAGTTAGTGACCAAAGTTAGATTTAAATTTTTCTAGTGACCAAACATGAACGCTTTTTGTAATGTCAGTGACCAACCATGCAATTAACCCAAATTTTTTGAATAGCTACAAACAAACCAGACATTTTTTCAATTATCTAATTCATATAATATTTATTTTACAATATCAAATACATATTATATTTACAATATCAAATACACGTATTTGAAGAACTTCAAACTTCCAAACGAAATTGGCCCTCAGTTGTACTTGTGACATTTTTTTTTTTAAATGACCCATGGTTCCAAATCCACGTTTAGTCTTTAACGACCTCTCTGATACAATTGTTCGCAGTTTTCGAAACAGTAAACACTAACTAAGACACTGTAAATGTCTAAATGACACGATTTGTCCAACCGGTGCATGCCACGTAGGTTATTTTATGCGTCGATCGACGTGTCAAGTCCACCTGCACAGCAGTCGTCGCTAAAAAGAGGCGGGGAAGGGCGGGCGAGAAAGAGAATATAATAAACAAATATAAAACCGATTTTTTTATATCCACCAGTGTCCTACCCGCCATTAGCTGTGCCTCTTTCTCCTTCTTTCCGTCTCCGTCCCCGTATAAATACCTCTTGGTCGGTCGTTTACTGTAACAAGCCGAAACAGAAGCTCGAAGCTCCAAGAATTTGTAAGAATACGATTCAGGCGGTAATTTATTCTCCGCCGGCGGCGAGTGATTGATTGTCGACATCAGAGATCTATACCTATTTATCAATTCCGGGGATCCTTGGTTGGCGGTTGAGATCTTATCAATTCAATCGAATGGCGGAGGACAAGTACAATCTGAAGAACCCAGCCGTGAAGCGGATCCTGCAAGAGGTGAAGGAGATGCAATCGAATCCGTCTGACGATTTCATGAGCCTTCCTCTCGAGGTTTGTCTTCACTCAATTTCCCTTCCCCTCGACTTGCCAATTTCTTCTGCGTAAATTCGATCTAATTCCAATTGGGTTTCTAGCCTTCAATATAGGTGTTTTTTCGAATTCGATATGGGATGGTTCTAGTGCGGGTTTTGTGGATTTGTGAAGTTTGGTACGATTATATTTGTTCGAATTGGATAATTGTGAAATTGGGGATTTTGGTAGAGAGAGAGGAAATTTTGTGGTCCAAATCGATGATTGATGAAATTACAGAGGTAATCTAGTATAGTGGATTGAGGAATTAGTGCCTTTGGGCGGGACATGTAGAGAGAAATCAGATGGGCGATCAAAGTGTGGCTTTTATTCATATGTTTCTGCTCTCATGTTAGGGTGTGTATGTTCTGTGCCTTCAGGAGAATATATTCGAGTGGCAATTCGCCATCAGGGGTCCTTGTGATACCGAGTTTGAAGGCGGGATTTACCATGGGAGAATTCAGTTACCCGCGGAATACCCCTTCAAGCCACCTTCATTTATGCTTTTGACTGTAAGTCTCCTAGGGTTTTGAGACTTTTAGTTGAGAGGTTGTATAATTTCTTGGCTCCAGCTTTCTGTATGCTAAAACTGCTTTTGTTTTTATCCCTTTGTTCAGCCAAATGGTCGATTTGAGACTCAAACGAAGATATGTTTAAGCATATCGAATCACCATCCAGAGCATTGGCAACCGTCATGGAGTGGTAAGTTTTTATCGCATTTGTCAACTGGTTTCTCAGTAACTTTTCTGTACCCTAGATAGAGAAATGGTGAATTACTAAAGGATGTCATTCATGCATTTTTTGGTGAATCAATTTCTTAACTCGGCATCTAGAGGTTGCCATTGTTTTTCAAATGGGCTCTGATTTCTTGAGATGTTTATCAAAAGTGACGATCTTATGCTCTGATTAGCTCATGGTAGTGGCTAGCTTCTTGTGTTATTAATGGTTTTGTTCATTACCAGTGAGGACAGCTCTAGTAGCTCTTATTGCATTCATGCCAACCAACCCAAATGGTGCATTGGGATCGCTAGATTACAAGAAGGACGAGAGGCGTGCGCTAGCTATCAAATCTCGCGAAGTAGCACCAAGATTCGGTACTCCTGAGCGTCAGAATCTCATTGACGAGGTTTCTTTCTCTCCTAGTTCTTGATCTCTCTCCCTATTTATGCCATCTAGGTGTAGTGGGTTTGCTTTGTCAAAAAAAAAAAAATTTTTCTTTGTCAAAAAAAGGTGTAGTGGGTTTGCAAAGATTTGGTTCAAATCCGACAATATTAAAATGTGGATGGGAATCAGAGTGGGATGAATGCACTTCGATTTAGTTTTGATTCTCAAGGGCTAATATGTTCTTTTTTTAATAATTCGATTCCATGATTGTCTAAAGAAACAAAGAAATCTAGAACCAAAGAGCAACTGGACTGGACTGAGCCAATTCCGATTGAAAGATCCTTTTGTATTTCCTTTATTTTTCGGATCCTACCGGATTACCCTCTGGCTTTCTTATGAACTCTGTGCTAACTAGAGCTTCGGACGGTGAAACAGATTCATGAATATATGCTAAGCAAAGCACCACCGGTCCCTCAGCCAGACGTCTTACAGTCTTCAGAAGAACAACCAACAAATACAGAGGATGAAGCACCTAAAGAGACTGCTGCTGCTGCTGAAGAACTTGCCAACGCCGGTCCTAGTGAAACCCAGGTCACGGCAGAAAGGATTGTGGAAGAAGTACCCGAGGCTCTTGTTCCCATTGATAATCCTCCTGTTCAAGCCGTAATAAGGGCAGCGACTCTGGAAGTGCCTCCGGCAAGAAGGCCGAGCGATCAAATTCGGCATAGAGCGGCAGTCCAAAGGCCTGCTGCTGGTGCTGACGATAGGCTCTTCACATGGGCTGCTGTGGGGCTCACCATCGCCATAGTGGTTCTGCTACTGAAGAAGTTCTTGAAGTCTAATGGGCACAGTCCAGTTTTCATGGACGGCTCCTAGATTGTCTCGGAGTGGTGGTGATGGACTGATGGTAAGGGATGGCAACACATGGAAAAGAGGGAAGTAAATCTCTTCTTTTGTCTTATCTCGATTTGCGACAAAATTTGTAATATAGTTTTATCATCCGCTTAAGATATTCATCATTTCCCGTGTCTGTAATTAATAAAAATGTAGATGAGTGAACTTAAGGCTTAATTGCAAGTTTGGTCACTCGAATTGCTACAAAATTTCACGTTTGCCACTCAAATTAATTTATTCCATTTATAGTCACTTAAATTAGGTTAACAGTCCAAGTTTGGTCACTGGCCGTTAGTCTCCGTTAACTTTTGCTGATGTGGCGGTCAACTCTTATAGTTGACCGTTAAATGAGTGACGTGGCGATTAAAAAATAATAAAATAATTTAATTTAATTATTTTTTATTTTCCACCTAATTATTATAAAAATAAAAAAAACTAATTCCTTTTAATTGTTATTTTCCACCGCTGATGAGCTGCGTCGTCTTCGGCTCCTTCGTCGTCTGGTAGCTCGCGGCGTTCTCGATCTCCTGCTTCAAGGAGCTGACCCTGCTTTTAATTATACATAATTAGGAACAAGGAAGTGATGGCGATAGTTGCCGGACTGCCGCAGTATATGGTGCTCCGATCAGGGAGTCACGGGACTTACCTGCACTACCTGTGGAACGACGAGTTCGGTGTCACGCAAAGCTGCATGGGGGCTAAGCGCCAGGTGGATCCGGTGAGCCCGTTCGTAAAGCTGGAGGTTGTCCCTTCCGCCACCAACCCTTCATCCTACGTCCACCTCCGCTGCTCCTACAACAACAAATACTTGCAGCTTAAGGATATGACGTGGTATTGGGTGGCTGCCATCGCCGACTCCCCCAACGAGGACCTCTCCGATGCAGTCAACTGCACCCTCTTCCAGCCCTTGTTCCCCTCCGGCCAGCCGCCAAACACCGTGGGCTTCAACAACGTCGCCCACCAAAAGCGGATCTACCTTGTCGACGAGAGTGCCGGCAACCCGGACATGTTCCAAGTGGCAATGGTGTACGGCCCCGAGGAAGAATACACTAGTTATTTCGAGTTCGCCCCCTGGGAGAAGAGTTTCCCCCCTCCTAATTCCTCGGCCTCCAACGCCCGCCCACCTCCTTAGTAAATTTCATTCCTTTTGCCACTTCCCGTCACGCCCTTTTCAGCCCAAAAAACAAGTTGCCCGCTCGCTCCATAATGATATCGAGAATGGGCATTGGTGGTATTGGCATTTGGCAGTTGGTTTTTCAGTATAGTGATAGATTTAGAGATGCTCTGTTTTTCTTCCTTTTAGGTGACACTCTGTTTTTCTTCGCATTGTCGTTTTTCAGGTTGGGTGATCCAACTGAACTTGGTCCAATGAGTTGGTGAGTGACGATGTTTACTTGCAAAAGGTCGTATCTGCCGTTCTTCTTCTTGGGTGGAGAATATTCCACGTGAATCACTCACTCACCGCCTTAGACCACCCACCACTGGTCAGTCACGTCCATCACTCATTGAAGCTTTTTTTTGTCATGATCCATTGATTAAACCCTCGGTTACTAACTATATATGCTTCGTTCCACAGGGAAAGCCGACCAGGGTCAGCGCCTTGAAGCAGGAGATCGAGAACGCCGCGAGGTACCAGACGACGAAGGCGCCGAAGACGACGCAGCTCATCAGCGGTGGAAAATAACAATTAAAAGGAATTAGTTTTTTTTTATTTTTATAATAATTAGGTGGAAAATAAAAAATAATTAAATTAAATTATTTTATTATTTTTTAATCGCCACGTCACTCATTTAACGGTCAACTATAAGAGTTGACCGCCACATCAGCAAAAGTTAACGGAGACTAACGGCCAGTGACCAAACTTGGACTATTAACCTAATTTAAGTGACTATAAATGGAATAAATTAATTTGAGTGGCAAACGTGAAATTTTGTAGCAATTCGAGTGACCAAACTTGCAATTAAGCCGTGAACTTAATTCCTAAATTGGGGTTATCTTATGTCTTTGTTGTATAACCAATTGGTTTTGATTTGGACAGTCTTTGCCCTGAGGCTCCTGAGTCCTGACCTCTGACTCTGAGCATCTGCTGGACATGGAATTTCCTCCTGATATATTATTTTTATTGAAAAATAGATGCATAACATTTCAGTTTTCATTCACAATAAAATGAAGCGATAGATCTATGTGATGAATGCAATTACCAATCTATACACGGCCTGATCTATGAGATCAATGCAATTTTCATGCGGTAAATGGATGCAATTCCCCCCTGATCTATCCTGGTGGTAGATACATTTAATTTCTTGAGAAAATCGGAAGATGTGCAGAATTGAAGTTTATACCTTGCATATGCCACCAGAAGAAAGAGCCCATTCTACCAAAAAAAGAACAAAGCCTTGTTTGTGCAATTGGTCGCAGTTATCAGGGTTTTTAACCTCACATTATTAATAACACAGAGTTGGAGTGTTTCTTTCGCGTCAGTATATTTTAACTCTTTCGATGGAAAAGTAGTTTAAAATGTTCATTGTTTGGTAATTGAAGGATAATATTTAGTGAAAAAATTATTTGTAAGGGTATTGGATAAAATAAATGAAAAGTAGGAAATGATAGAGTATGAAGATCCGGGAGGGCTAGGTCAACGGTGTTCTGGGTGGCACGGTCTTGGAGGAGATTAGAAGTTTGAGAGATTCGTTCCAGGTGTTTAATATCCGTTTTGTTGGTCGGAGATATAACAGGGTTGCCATTTGGCGGCAAGGAAGGCCCTTTCGATGCTCCCTTCTTTAGTAGGATTCGATTTTGTTTCTTGGCTATTTTCAGTCATGTGACTCTTTGTATCTGACTGTTTTCTCGGTAACGCGAATGATCTTTTTGCAAAAAAAAAAAAAAAAGTAGGATGAAAAAATCATACAAATTAAGTTATAAAATCTTTTTGATTATGCCTATGTTTGGCCCGGCTTTTAAAAGTGCTTTTTGAGTCCAAACGCAGAAGCTGGGCCAAACACCTCTAGAAACCAGGCTTTTAAAAAAGCTTAAAAGTGCTTTTTATAACGTAAACGCAGAAGCTCCAAATTGGAGCTTCTACGATTGGCTTTTTTATTAGCCGCTGATATATTACTTTTTTATCCTTATTCTAGCTGGAACTATTGATTTCCCTCCATAACTTCCCGCCTTGCTATCACTAGCTGCTGCCGCCTTATATATATATGTATCTTAGGGCTTTCTTTTCCCACGTCTATTTCTCATATTAGGTTTCTCTTTTGTGTGGGCTGGGCACTGGGCACGTTCCACGTTGGTATCATTGAGAAAAGAAGTCCGGTAAGTTCCCTTCTTACTTTGTTCTCGTCATATTTACCTACTGATATTCCTTGACCAATACATTCGATTGATAGCTTGGATGATTTCTTTGGTTTTGCTATATTCCAATTCTATTATTTTATATGTTGTGTTCTAGTCTTTAAATTCTATGTTCGGTGGAAACTTTAGCTTAGTTTTATTCAATCTCATTCTTTATTTGTTGTACGTGTTCTACATCTGATTCTAGATTGTGTTTTTATTGATTAAGAGACTTATTTTGTTCCTTCTGTATGCTGGGTGCAATGATAAGAATACCTTAGGTGAATTTTATTTAATGAACATTAGTTATATACTATAATTGTTGTATGTTATTTGACATATAGAGTAGAAAGAAATTTCAAGAACATAATGTCAACCCTTCGAGAAGGATTTTCTTTGCAAACTAATCGATCGCAGAAGGCACAATGGGATGAAAAGTCTATTAGAATTTTCTGTGAGGTATGTGTTGAAGAGGTTAATGTCGGAAATCGTCCCGGTACTCATTTCAATAAAAGGGGTTGGAGTAACATAGAAGCAAAGTTCCAGGCAAGGACACAAAACAAGTATGTCTACAAGCAGCTAAAAAACAAGTGGGATACTTTGAAGAAAGAATATGGAATATGGAGAAAGCTTGTGCAAGGAGAAACTGGGTTAGGATGGGATAACGAGAAACACACAATTGTAGCTGACGATTGGTGGTGGGAATCAAAATTGAAGGTAATGGAATCATTTGTATATGTTAGTTAGACATCAATTTTATATTTTACACTTGTTCGATTTCTAAATATATTGTGCTTTTTTGACAGACTCAACCTGAAGCTGCAAGGTTTCGTCATGCACCATTGGATAATCTAGAATTACTGGAAATTATGTTCTCTAAGATTTTGGTGACAGGAGAAGGTGCATGGACATCTTTGGATGATGGCACAAATGGAACCGATGCCAATACAAATTCTCCATCACAAGTAGAAGCAATTAATTTGATGGATGAAGACGAGTTCTTAAACTTCACTATGGGTACAAATAGGCAGGGAAACAATCTCGCGTACATTGGAGATAAGAGGGCAAAACCAATGGACGAGACACCACATGAACAGGTGATGAAAATTGCGAAGAAGAAAAAAGTTGGAACTGCAGGTCACTTCCAAAAGCAATTGGATCGACTAGTTGATGCTGTTGAGATTTATGCTGGCTCAAGGACACAAGCTAAGAAAGATGAGAGAGTCACCTATACCATTTCAGAATGTATGGGATTTGTCAAAGGTCTCCCTGGAGTGGACAATGCTCCTGAACTCATTACATGTGCAGGCCGATTATTCAAGGATATGGATAACCGGGAGATCTTCATATCATTAGGGACACAAGAGTTGCAGCTACATTGGCTTAAAGAAGAATATGGAAGGGAGCAATAATTGATTTTCAAAAAACAAAAATTCATAAGTTTAGTGTTGAATTGAGAACATTTTTCTTTTATTTGGTGCATAAATCGAAAAATTTAGTAATGTTTTTCTCATGACAATGGCTTATATATTTATGAAATTTTACTTATAATTTGTTTGATGATTTTCCTCTTGATATATCCCTCTCTTAGATTTGTGTTTGCCAGTTTATCATTTCAACATTAAGTGATTGTTTGATTTGAAAACAGATGAGTACCGAAGGCGAAAGGGTGGAAGAATCACAGGAACTTGAAGATGTGATTTTCTTCGCACTTGCTGCTATGGGAGCTGGCATGATGAACAATTATTACACAAAGTATTTATCAAAGCAAGAACCAAGAGTTTCAAACTCGACTGGATGGCAATGGGTATTGGAGACACTAAATACCCCAGGTGAA